AGTCACACTTTGTATTCATCATTTAATCATACCTTTATTACTTCATCAACTCAAAAGAAATACCACATGCTCTCCTACAAATGCTCGTATGATAGATGCACACATACACTCATATGCACACATACGCACATACACACAAACGTATGCAAATACAGACAGTAAGACACATAGACATGCACACACATGCATGCATGCACGAGCACACACAGTATTCAAGCATTCAAGCATGCTGGGCACGTTTTAGAGAGGGTCCTGTTTAGCTCACACTGGTGCACCTGTTGTAGACGAGTCAGACCACGACACCTCAGGGGACGCATGGTTTCCATGGAGACCCGGGGACAGGAATGGTGCAGCTCGCTCTGATAATTAGCACCATGATATCTCACTAAGCAGAGTGCTGGAGCTTGTCCTTTCTAGGTGTTATTCTGTTATTCTACTAGTACTGTTTGTGTACTTAGAGTTCTCAGTATATATTTCTGCATGTGTCTGTTTGGTGTATATGTGTGTTTTTTTCAGTTTAATGTTATTCCGGTTGAGATGCCAACCTTTGGAACTTGACCTTTACCCTCCTACACATCACATAGTTGGAAAACTGATGGCGACACTATGGAAATGAAAGGCATCAACTCTTCTGCTCTCTGATCCACCCTATGCTGGTTTTTTTCAACAGCCACGAAGATCAATGGGGACATCATTAAAACAGGGCGGCACTACCATTCAGCTGACAAAGTAGACCATCCCTTATCAATACTTTCTTTTGGAGTTGCTGCTAAAGCGAATCTTGCTACCATTTTCGAATCCCTCTGATCGTGGATCCAGCAGGGGGGCTTTTGCCTTAGGGTGTAGCTCCAACTTTGCATTTTGTTTGGATTTAATGCAAAAAAAGTTGGGTTTTTTGGTGACATCGAGGACTTTTTTTTTTTTTTGCTTGATATAATTTATTTTTCAAAAGTTGGATTCCCTGCATACAAGCTATTTTTTTCTTGGTTGCCTAAGGCTGAAGTCTTTTGAAAACCCCTAAATTTGGAGTTGGTTTCCAAAGTTTACACATTGGTTCTTTTGCACAACCTGAACCATACAACAGAGGTACTCTGAAAAGGTCCCTGAAAAGACCCAGTCTCATCAGAACAGTGACCCAGGGCGAGCAACGGCGTTCAGGAGTTGGAAGCCCTGGATGAGCAGTGTGTCCACTTGGAGAGAGGAGGATAGGAGGAGGTACCGACCGTGGAGATGACAGACATTGAGGGACAAGAGAACCAGGGACAAGGGATCTCTGATAAGAAGCATGGCACTGATCACATTGGTCCTGAACGTCAATGCAGTGTCCAAAGAGGCTTTGGCACCCCAAAGCAGCACCTCCATGAGCATCATGGCTCCTTGTCCAATGTGGAGGGGTTTGAGGAATTTGAAGAGTTTGTTTTGGATTTTGATGACTATGACTTGCTTGAGTCAATCCACACTCAACTGGGGTCACCAGACGAGCCTGTCCGTAAGTTGTGTGAAGTTGTTGTTTCTGTGGAGATTCACCTTGCTGGTTAGCATTACAGTAGAGTTTGACAGTAGTGAAAGTTGCATCAAGCGATGAACGCAGCTCTGATGTAATCATAACACAATGGGAAATTCACAGGGACAAGCATTTTATTCTATATTTACATGTACAATGATCAATGATCAGGAGCTCACTTGTTTCCATTGATTATGTAGCTTGCTGCTTGCCTAATTAAAGGCAATATAAGGCTCATTCGTTGCCACACACAGAACAAAGTTGTCCATGGTATTGAGCGAATTGACATAGTACTCGACTGCTGCTGTTTCCTGCTTTCCTATTGATCCAGAGGCACCCATTTGGTTTGGGGTCAGCCACAGCTAGAGCGGAAAGACATTTCATTGACCAGCAGTGTGTGGTTCTGCTATTTTTATTCACATTCGGCTTTGGAAACATGGCACATTAGTCCTGTGATGAACCTATGTTCCAGCAAAGTGAAATAATACCTTAACTAGCACACTAAATTACGATGTGACCATAGTAAACTTGACTTGCTTAACATCAGCATGTTAACATTGGCATGTTCAACATATTAGCATGCTGATGTTAGCACTTAGCTTAAAGCAATGCTTTGCCTAATCACAGCTCCGCAGAGCTGCTCGGTTGTTTGTGGAGTCTTGGTAGTTAGTACAAGCTCTGTGCAATCGGCGTGGAAGCCCCGTTATGACATTGTTACACCAGCAGCAAAATAATAACACCCCTGTGCGCTAATATTAAAGGGGAAACTCATAGATTTTACATATCTAACAATTCTGTTTACAGGTCTTGGGGAGTACTACTGCATTTGTAAAAATGTTGTGAGCTGTCTGATATCTGACAAATTGCCTCATGTCACATGAGTAAGTGCTGGTAAGGGCTGAAGACAAGTTTGAAAATGAAAATAATATGGGGTAGTGAAGCTAGACCTTTGTAGCCCACTCCTCATCTCTGCTTAGGGCTAGCAGCTCAAGGCTACATTAGCCTCCCTTAGCATAACACACCATAGTCTTTGAACCCTGCTCTGTATTCAGGGTATTTAGTGACCAGAGTAAATAACACTTTACATATATCGTTAAGACATTTAACACACTGAAAAGACCCATGAGACAGTTCCACTGCTTTTAATCATAATGACTTCTTAGCAAGGAACAAACATTTTAGAGGCACAATGACATTATCTGTAGCTGGATTATATATTTCATGTACATATTCAGCAATTATTGCTTCAAATATAGAAACAGTCTTTTCAAGCTCTAACCTTTAATTCAAATGTTCATAGCACAATGTCTAAGCTGGGTCTCCGTCTGTTTTTTTAACCTTTATTCATTCAACAGTTAATGTGGACTTAAGTACACAGAAGTAAACTGTGGGTTAAAAATGGTTGGGTCCTTTTTGTTCTGGACTAAAATGAAGCAAAATTTTAGATTATCTGGTTTTCAAATATGCTGCGAATCAGATTTGTGAAACAATTGGATTTCAGGAGGCCAAGAGCACAAAGAAACTGAAAATCAGATACAGTGTACGGACAGCGTGGTACCTGGCAGGAAAATAAATTGCCTTATGATTGTTGATACTGAAGGGATTTTTTGGGTCATTCTTGGGATTTATTTGATTTCTAAACATTTACAGTTAGACTATTATCAAAATGAGATGGTTGGTTACACAGGGATAGTTTAGCTGAGTTGTTTTCCTCATATAATCTAGAACATGTGTGTCTTATCATTGACCCAATCAAGACAAGTCATGAGACTGCTCATGTTGTCCATGTAAAGTCCCATCAAAAACTTTCTCTTCCAGCTCAAAGGAAATGATAATCAAAGGTATATGAATATAGCACAGGACTCTAATCAGAAACATCTGATATTAAAGAAATATTGTGTGTGGAGGAGATTTGGAAACTAAGGCTAATTTATGCATGGCAGTTACTTTTGGCTGATCTAAATCGCTCAAAGCTGTTGATACCTAAAGCAACTCCTCAGACTGGATTATAACAATAAATAATAATGCCTGCAGTTACTGGATATGGTTCAAGTGTTATGGTATTTTAAACATGGGGTGCTTTGTGTTGTGCCTTCTCAGTTAAAGGCCTCAGCCCAGGTCAGACACCAATTCAAAAGAAGGGAGAGGAGTTGTCGAGCTCTTCTAGATCAGTCGGAGTAGTTCATACAACAGCCTTAAGAACTTTTTTCCCTTGGGAGACTCTACAAAAGGAAATACAGTCTTACTTTATCTTGATTTCCATTTCTGTCTGTTTCCCTGACGATGGCATGACGCAGCTGAATAGAACACTTACTGTAGCTAATGCACACACACACACACACATACTCTCTCTCTCTTCCTCTCTCTCCCCTCCACTTTGATTACCTCCGGCTGCTCATGTAAAAGATTAAAAAAGTGTTTATTCAGTAAGAAATTATATTCAGCCATTGGCTAGTCTGACAGGTCGTCAGCAGTTCCAGACTGAATGCAAATCAAGATCTTTATCCTGACCTTACACCAACCCCATGTGGTAACTTAACCATATAACCCTACCAATAATAATAATGCTCTTGCTTGTTACAGCCGAATTATTACAAATCAAGTTCTGCTGCACGTTTTGGACATCGACACTGAAATCTTGAAGCTTGAGCCTCTTATAACAGGAACATATTTTAACTCAGTCAAGCTTTGACAAAATAAAAAGAACCAACAAAATGTTTATTGCAATGGATTACCTATCCTGCATGTGTTCATTTTTAGTGTTAGGTAAGATGAATATAAGCTGTGTGCTGACTGGGTATGCTGGGTAATTTGTAGTAGTAGTTCTACTGTGAAGTAGTTGACCGAAATGTAAAAACACCCGATTTGCAGTTAAAATGGGCAAAATGACAATTCCTTTTATCGTCTCAAATGTATTTCTTAAGTTATAACTAAACATACTTCAAACCACTCTCTAAACACATTTCCACAGAGGTGGAAGCCTCTTAATGTTCATTTCCCAGTTCCTTTGTCCAAATGAAGTGACTTCCCAAGCTTCGAACTCTTTTAAATGGCAAATGATAGCCCGGTCCTCACTGTAATGAAAAGGCTTCCTCATTATGCTGAATTCAGTAAAACATGATTTGTGGGTCAAGGAAATTGAAAATGAAATTACTTTTGAACTGGGCATAAAACCACCTCCTCTGTAACAGTTTCCCATCGCGTACAGAGATTCTCACTCACCCATGGAGCCTTTTCCTTATGTTATGGGATGTTCTGCTGTCAACTGGAAACAGACATACAAATTTCATTTCTGATTTTCCAGCATGGAGCACATTTTTTGTGTTAGACAGGATGTTTTAGTTGTTCACAGTCCTACAAAGAGAAATTCAGGCTGCTGTTCACAGATTGCACCTAGTTAGGTTGGCATCCGAATAACTCCTCCAAAAATCACAACATCATGGCTTAGCAATGTTGACCTTTTGCATTTTGTCTCAAAATACTTGTGGCTGTTCAGGTCACAGATTTGAGGATAACCCCGGGGTGAGACGCCACCTGGTGAAGAAGTCGTCACGATGTCAGATGACCCGGGCCAGCAGTTCCACGCCACTATGCAGCCTGAAGAAGAAGAAGAGAGCAGCAGATAAAAAAACTCACGAGGTTTGCAGCACACTTTGTTTTCCCCAATAACATTAATCTACATACAAGTTTATTTTGTTGATATTGTAAAAGGTATCACATTTAAAGCAGTATAAAACTCTTATCACCCTAATGACCATTATGGTTGACATATTAGCATACAATTGCCTACACACCAAGCAGGCATTAGCAACATTAGCATTCCGTTGAAGTTGTGTTTCTGTCCAGCACGTTGACTTGATGAGACAAAATTGCTCCTTTTGTTTCACCTCAGTTTGACAGCAGACATTTCACAAAAACAAAAATCGTATGAGTATTATTTTGTGTTTGCTAGGAATCAATACTGTGTTTAAATTTGAGAAAATGTATCTTCATTTGGTTATCCTCTTAGTCCAAACCACTCTGAGCTGGATCCAAACCGCTTATTTTAGTTGGTCCCCATAAACACGTGTGTCGACTGCGTCATGTTTTGCTTAAAAAAAAAAAAATAAGATAGGAACAACCAAACTGTGGTTGTCCAATATTTTTCTTAAGTTAATGTATTTATATTGGTGCTAGCCATTGTAGTTATGGATGAGGCAGGGAATGTTCACAGCATCATCCAGTATTAACAACTGTTCCTTGATAGATTTATTTGATTGCACCGAAATTTATTGCAGATTTTCCCAGTTTTTCCATATCCCTGTATGTTAATAATAGTCTTGAACATATTCCAATTAGTAATCGTTCCTTCTCTACTTCATATACAGTTGTTTGTGGAGCTGAATGAGCTGATTGTGGATAAGGACCATGAAATGCGTTGGAAGGAGCGAGCTCGATGGATCAAGTTTGAAGAGGACGTGGAGGAAGAGACGGATCGCTGGGGCAAACCTCATGTGGCCTCCCTCTCCTTTCGCAGCTTGCTGGAGCTTCGCCGCACCATCACTCAAGGTAAACAGCTCCTGCATACATACAGCAACGCAGATGCTCGCAGCGCCTGCCTTATGGTTTATCTGTTCCCATGTGCAGCTGAAATAAAATCCACCAAGAAAAACACGACATGCAAAAAGAAGCTAAACTCATTAACAGAAAATACATTTGTCAAAATAACAACATGTCGACATTTTTTCCTTGCTCACATTTATCCAAACTGGAGAGTGAATAATTTTTAAACAATATGGTATGAGCATCCTTGTCTTCCTGTACTTTTCCATCATTAGGTGCAATCCTGCTGGACCTCGAGCAGAACTCTCTGCCCGGCATCGCCCATCTGGTGGTGGAGACGATGATCATCTCTGATCAGATCAGAGCTGAAGACAGGCCGAGTGTTCTCCGGGCTTTGTTGCTCAAACACAGGTCAGTCACAAAGCTAACACTAACTGGCTCCCTCAAACAGAACATTTTTACCATCTGGCTTCAGTACAGAGTCAGACGTCAGAGTGGCATCCCAGGAGAGTGTACAAGGTTTAAGGGGCTCATCTATATATTTTTGACCAAATAAGTTTTAGGAATAGGTGGGAAATTTTCCTTTTCTGAAGGTTCTTAGATGGCCAGAAATGAAAAAAACAGACCTTTTTATTCCAGGTTTCCGACATTATCACTGTAAACACATTTTGTACAGCATCTGAGGCTGTCCTATCAGCAGGGTTCAACTTATTCAGGCTCTTTGACCACTCGGCTTCACTAAACCTAATTTGAACTGTTCTCATAATCAGTCTCATGAAGCTGCATAGATCACACTGTTAAGAAGTATTGCAAACGTATAAAATACTTGAATACAAACTCTAAAATACAAAAGGATTGTAAAGTATTGCTACTGAGTTGTAAACTCATTGTTCTGTGCTTTTAAAGCTTGAAACCAGCCTGAACCAGAACTCCTACTTGCAGTTTTGGTCTGTGGTGTTAGTTACGATGGCAACAGATCTTGATTTAATCTCAAACAATCCCAACCCCACTTAATACCAAAGTTAGATGACTAACTTCACAAGACAGTCCCAGAGAACATTGTTATCTTAGATTTAGTAGTTTCTTTGTCCATGTTTAACAGACCTGTCAGTCTATAATAGTGTGAATGCTGCTTTGTTTACACATTGATTATGGGTTGTAGGTATGGCAGAATGAAGAATGGCATTGAAGGTTACAGAAAGGCAAAATTTAGGGGAACTGAACAGGGAATTTCCAAATTGTGACATTTAACAACACTTGGCTCATCATCTGGTGTACTTCCCCAGGGCTGACTAAGTTTCAAACGTCAAGACTGTTCTGTAGCTGCCCTGGGTCTTAAAGCCTCAACCATCAGATTAAAAGTTTGATTCTTCATTTTGTGAGCCATCCTGTCTTTGTTAAGATATTTGTCTGTGTCAGACGTAGTTCTTTTCATGCACAAAAGAGTGGGAGTTTCAATCTGAGGCTCATAACTGTAGACCAAGAATAAAAAAGACAGTGTTAGGGGCTTGGTAAAAACATCTAAAACTTGCAAATTTGAAACTGACCTTTCTAGCTATTTTGTTACTTTTCATGAATCCAGATGGGTTTCTTCATTCCAAAGGTATACTGTTTATTACCCGATTAAACTCGATTGTTATTTTAGCCTTTGAGTGTTTGGTGCTTTGTGATTTTTGCATTAGCAGGTTCTTTCCAGCCAGCCGAGTCAGCCACTCTTGGTATCAGGTTCAATGGTGTTGGTGGAAATTATTCTGTGTGACGTTGTTAGCCTCATGGGACACCACAACTTGCTTTCATGTGTCAGGATCTCAATTCCAAAATGGCATTAGCGATCAGGACTTTCCCACTAGAAAACCTCAAAGACCAAAATTGTAGACAAGTATGCGGATGTAACACGGGACATGTCATCTCCTCGCTATCTCTAGCTCTCTCAAATGGTCCCCACTTATTGATCGACAGTTGCATTAACATTCCAGCTAAACTGACCTAATACATACGGCCAATGGAATAGTGCGCTACACAATAGTGGATTATAGATTTTTCACTGTTACATAATGAGAAAAACAAGTTGACTAAATGTCGGCTGTCAAATTAAATTACTAAAAGGAAAGATAAGCCATGCCTCAAAAATTCACTAATTCTCCAGTTTGTACATTTTGTGTAATTTCAGGGTTTACTTTAAATATTTTGAAAATATTTTTCATCTAGGGACAGGCAGAAATGGTCAGTAGAAACAAATAATCTATCAAGTCTCTCCGTGTTTCAGTCAGCTGGTCAACTATTACTGTAACTACTGAATGGATTGCCATGAAAAGATCCCCACATGAAGCCTGCTAACTTAAGTACCTCCCTTACTTTTTCTCTAGCTTAAGTAGACATTAACGAAATATCTCAACCACTATTGAATGGATGGCCATTAAAAAGTGGTGCCCAGAAGATGAATCCCATTGATTTTTAATGGTCCCCTTCCTCTAGCGCTACCAGCAGCATTGTTAAACTGTAGCAACACTCTGGCTTTCCATCCGACGCCATCATGAGGTCAAAGGTTGAAACACTATAGTACTTTTGTTATGACCAAATACCTACTTTGGGTTTAGTGCTAATTAGCAAGTTAGTGATAAATGTTATAGCTGTTAAACATCAGCTTGTTAACATTGACATTTTAAGCATGTTTAGCATGCTGACAGCACTCAGAGCTCACAGAATATGAGAATATGTACTTCTTTGGGCTCACAGTTGGCAAGTTGGTGCCCACTGGCAAACATGAGATTGAGATTGTGAGATTGTTTTAGTAACTGCTGTTGAAAAACCTTCACTCATACCTGTGTTAGTTTTATTTTCCAAGGAACTCATCTTATCCTTATGTCTCTGTACACAGCTCTTCTAAGTCACTGGTCCAGCATTCTCTGTCTGGCCACTCCTCTGTCGAGCCAGAATGGTACAGCCGGGTTCGATCAGTAACAGTAATCTTGCATGGACAATGCTGTGGTGTGATGACACTTCAATAGTCTGATAATTATAAAACATTAAAATGTAATATTACTAACATCATGGTGACCAGATTTTCTGTTTGACTAAAATGTTCACGGGATGGATCCGCACATGCAAAGCGACACAACAGATGAACACAAAACAAGCCGGCCAGCGGACATTCTTAGCAGCAGGCCATCATGCGTTCATTCCATCTTTCACAGCGTTTCCACATAAATTCCCAGTATGTCGCTGGCTGCTTCCGCAGGGGAAAAAAAACCCTCAAACACTCATGTCATTAGAGTCATCACCAGTCTGAGATATCAGATTTACGATGTGGAAAGAAACACATTGAGGTGCTGCTAAAATTTAGCTCATCGCTTACTCAGACCACTTAAAAGATCTTCTGGAAACGTCTCGGGCAGAAATTCCCTTCAGTGTCACACCTCGTTCTTTTGTCTCGTGGTGCCGTCGTGTCCAATTTGGGCGCCGTGTTATAGGACCTTGTGGGCCTAATGAGTGAGGTGATGTCACCCTTGGACTTAGCAGTGTAATGAAGCAGCGTTAAAAAACTTGGCTGGTGTGACACACTAAATACTTCTCTTTAAAAGGGAGAGAAACATGCTTACACTCACATGCACAAAGGCGTAGTTAATAAGGCTACACAGATTAGTCTGGCTGTTTTATTGATGCACTGAAGCAAATGTCACATTTTAAAAAATTACTGTGTCAACTCAGACTTTCTCGTAAGAGCTTTCTAATTGCCTTAAAATAAAAATATATATATTTTAAAGGATGTTGCTGATGACTTTTTTAAATGTATGACCTGCATTGCAACTGCATTAGGTAAAGCTCTTCAGCATGTCGAATGAACAGAAGGTAGATTAGGTGAACAAGAATCACAGCTGTGCAACAACATATTATCATCTTATTATAATGATAGTTTAATCCACCCTCAGGCTGGAGAGATAAGAAGTAGGTGCACATTCCTGATGAGCTTTCTGATAGGAGAAATATATTGAGCGTATTGATATATCTATGGAGGAAGCACAACGTTGTAATGCAGCCCCTTGTCAATCTGTTGCACCTGGGGGAGTGAAACTTGGAACTGTACTTGTATTAGTATATAATATGGAACAATCCTCCCAGTACTAACTGCTTTTTAACCGTGCTAAGGGTGCGGCCAAGTGGATAACATTGTCCAAAATCAAATACCTCAAGAACTATTAAGTTGATTGCCATAACATTTTCTACAGACAGTAATGATCCACAGCGGATTCATATTAAGGACTTTTCATCTAGCAGTTTTGGTTCAGAGTTAAACCATGAACAATTTTCAGAAACTTCTGCTCTCCACAGGGTGGATTGTAATGTAATCTCCCTGACATTTCATTTAGTGCTATCATGAGGTTAACATTTAAATTTGTACTTATCTAACTTGGGCTGTAAAACTAATGACTTTCCCATCAGCCTCAGCCGTGCTTTGTGCTTATCGCCAATTAGCCACTTTCAGCATTCTAACTAAGATGGTGACCCTGGTAAACATAACGTGTCAATGTGAGCGTACTGGCATGCTGATGTTAGCACTTAGCTCAGAGCACAGTTGCATCCACATAGTATGGCAGTAGACTCGCTCATGTTTTCTTTTTCCTTCGTTTTGTTCCCACAGCCATCCGAGTGATATGAAACATCGTTTTCACCGCCACCAATCATCCAGCAGTCTTCATGGCAGCTTCAATCACAACCACGTCCCGGACACCAATCTGCCGCTGGTGGCTGAAGAGCAGGAAGAGCACCAGGATAACAAAGTGCCGGTGTACGACCCAAAACAAGACGTGTTTGTCAGCCTGTTTGTAAGTCATTCTTACTTAGCACTTGTTTGTCCTTACAGCAACCCTTATTCCTCACACTTCATTTACTATTTGTGTCAATGCAGGGATTTCCACCCCTGGAGAAACATTTGGGCTATAAAACCACAAATATGGTATATTCTAATGCTAATGTTCCAGTATATACACTGATCCTAATTATTCCATATTTGAATGAGTTGGCCAACCCGATTGTAAACATGTCACTTTGGCAACGTTTCCTATATGAGTGTGTGTTGGCAATGTCTCAGAGGAGGCTCTTCTGTAATTCATCCATTAAGCCGATAAACGTCAGTGAGACGTATATGGAAAATGCAGCGCTTTAAGTTTTTTAATGCTTACTGCGCAATCATCAAGTTGCTGCCACTGGTGTTTTGCAATGTTTTCCAAACTAGCCTGTCCAACGAAGATGTCCCCAGTCTGTGCAATCAATGCAGTTCTTAATGTGTTTTGCCATCTAATATTTGTCAAACACTGAAGACAACTCTCTGCTCTCTACTTGACAGGACAGAACCTCTCATCTTAGCACGTGCACACACACACATATTGATATACAGTATGATGATCTGATACAGACAGATCTCTATCATCATGGTTGCATTGCTTTGAAGCAAACGCTCGTGGTTGTAAAATGTACACGCATAGCGAATCGCAACTTGTTCATCAAAACTACTTCATCAGAATCAGAAGATAATATAATAAAGTAGTCGGCTGAACTCAAATGAGTAGTTGGCTGTTTGGCCGGAAGCTGGGGCTTACGGCTGGCTCTGGTCAATGTGAGATGCTGGTGACGGAGATCTGAGAGATATGAGATCTGGGTTAAGATAGACTGCGACATAGTTGAAACAATGCAGGCAGACAGCACAGTAACTTACCAAAGCCAAAGTAAGTGATTAACTAGTTTTGACAAGTCTCCACAAGGATAATGGAACTCAGCTATCTAAAAGGACGGAGATAAAAGCGACGTTGAGCTGTCTTGTTCCAGTTTATGGTTTGAATTAAGTTCTAAGAATCAGCAGTAAGCGTAGATTTAAGCATGATTACACAAAATTCCTGATGTGAGGCCTGTGGCTCTCGCATTGTTCTTTGAAACACCCCTTCATGAGGTCAGACGTCGTGTAGGTAGTTCTTGAAGTCGGAGAAGGCAAGTCTCCCCGTGCCACATGTGTTGAATTATGTTCTTAGTCAGCTTACAGGTGCTTCCAGTTAAAGCTTCTTGATGCATTAACTGTGAAAACCTAATGTTCCCCATGGCTTAAAATGTTGGCAAATTTAAAACAGCCTATTAAAAAAAATCTGTTGAAACATAAATAATCAGTCATCCTGTTGCACAGTTTTAAAATAAACTGCACAGGGGTGTTATGCAGAATATTATTGTTCATACATACTCTGCTTTTTTGACAATATATTCCCATTATTGGCCACATGCTATGTTGTGGTGTCACATCGTGTTGGTTGGAAAAACAATATGGATATTCTTTGTTCTGTTCCTCCTCCAAGAAATCTCTCCACCCTCTGCCTCCTGAGAGCCATCCAGCTGCAGCCAGATCGATGAAGCTCCTCGCCAAGATTCCCAAAGATGCTGAAGCTGTCATTGTTTTAGTTGGTAAGCTCCGTGAGTTTTGACACAGTAGATTAGAGGAATTATGCCTTTTCTCTTCTTCTGTTTTTAAAAAGAGATTAATCTGCTTGTTGCAAATTTTTCATCAGGCTTCAAATACAAAAAAAATCAGTATAACACTATAGTAATAGACAATGGTACCTACGTCTGTGTGTATTCTGATCACCTTTTGTCTTTACTGTAGTTTTTAGAATTATGCTGCTGTGCTTATGCTAATGTAGGTCAACATCTCTGCAGCTGCTTTGCTATGAACCCCCGAGGACCTGGGAAGCTTAAATGTATTCAAGCCTTAACACTAAATTAACACTACAACTACCACAGATGAGCAGATTCAGATTTTTGAGAATAAACAGGTGATGAGTGTACTGATCACAGATTGTGTTATCACGAATGCCGTCCCTCATGCAGAGATGTAAAAAATCTCTAAAGTCTGAACTTGTTGCATTTTTGTGTCGTTTACTTTCAGGCTGTGTTGAGTTTCTGGAGCAGCCAGCCATGGCCTTTGTCAGGTTGAATGAGGCAGTCCTTCTGGAGTCGGTGCTGGAGGTCCCTGTCCCCGTTCGCTTTATTTTCGTCCTGCTTGGTCCCACTCAGTCCAACGTGGACTACCATGAGATTGGACGTTCCTTCTCCACTCTCATGTCTGACAAGGTAGATATAAATCTGAAAAGATGTAAAACCACGTTTCAATCAGATGACAACAACAAAAGAAACAATGAATATCGTCATTTATTCACTCATAAACATTGAGAATTAGATTTAGAATTTATCTTCACCAATAAGTAAGGTACTATTCTTTTTTTTAACCAAAAAGCCCAATCCAGAAAAATAAAGAAAACCTGCTAAAAAGCTTCTAATTATCCCCCTCTAAATACATTATTCTGAAGTAAATCCTAGTGAGTACCCTCCACTGTAAATGCCCATCAAAGAAATGAGAAGTTGCATAATTGATTGCAGTAATTTGCTAATAGACAGATACTGTAATAGTTATTGCTCTTTCAAACTGTAGGTCCTCTGAGCTTGAATGGCCTTTCTTTTGCTTTCTGGCGATGACATTGAGTTGCATTATTGTTATAGAGTTTCCACGAGGTGGCCTATTTTGCTGACGACAGACAGGACCTCCTGAATGGTATCAATGAATTCTTGGACTGCAGCATCGTCATTCCACCCTCAGATGTGGAGGGCAAAGACCTCCTGAAGACAGTGGCGGACTTCCAGAAGCAGATGCTGCGCAAGAGGAAGGAAAGAGAGCTCAAGAGGCACCAGTCCTCAGCTGGAATAGAGCAGAACAACAAAGGTACTCTGTCAAGTCCTTAAAGAGCCCGTTTTACCAGCCAAATCCTCATTTACTGGGCTTGAGCAAGGCACGTCTTTTATTCTGCAAACCAATGCAGACAGATCAACCTCATAAGTCTGACTTCTTCTAAACTGTGTGCAGGACTTTCCCTGCGTTTTCAATGTTAAAAACACAGATGTGAACAGCTTTTACATCTACAAATCAGCAGAAAATACAGTTGTCGCTTTCGGTAGTTTTAAGATGGTATGTCCCATCACCTCAGTAAAGAAAACATCTACAGTACTGGTTAGATAGTAGTTTTTTTTCAAATTATGTATTAGGGAAAAGATCATGAACTTAAATAATCAGTCTTTCCATTCAAAAGCAAGTCTGACATTCCCTTCATTCTGTAACTTTTAAAGTTAATATTAGACTCTTTTTTTGTGATACGATAAAAGCTTACTAAAAACTCAAAATCCCACCATGCCATCCACCATTTAAAATTTTTACCATATAAATTTTAAGAATATTCACATAAAACAAGTAGAGTTTGAGTTATAGATAAAATGTTTTCTTAAGGATTCACATTTTACATTCCTCAAGATGTGCGTTGCCATAGAGCCTTTTTTAAAGCTGCCATTGGAGGGCGCCAAAAACATTTTTAAATCCTACACATAGTGGCATTGGGGAGAAAGATGGTATTATATTCTTCTCATTGTCAACATATTATCAAAATAATTAACCCAACAATTCATTAGTCCATCATTGATTCCTTAATGTGTGACACTAATATATTTATATATATTTTAAAGTACTCAGTAATTAAGTAGTTTTTAGGAATTACTAAGGTGTAAACAGTCAATTTGTTAGGGACTATTTTCAGCTGTGAGTCGACTCAACTGCTGTGCCCATGTTCATGGTAATAAAGGAATGTGTCACCCAGTACAACAGTATAGCTCAGGCTTGTAAGGTGGGATTTTGGTTTTATTACAGACCTTTAATATCTATCATCCTGTATATAACTTGCTAACTTTTATTTAATTGTTTTACTATTGTGATGACTAGTAGTTTATTTGTGTAACTGATTCTGTAACAAACCCTGTAGAGGTGAGTCCAGAGGAGGAGGAGGAGGGAGACCAGGAGGTGGACCCATTGAAGCGCTCAGGGATCCCTTTCGGAGGCCTGATCCATGACATCCGCCGCCGCTATCCACACTACATCAGCGACCTGAAAGACGCCCTGGACATGCAGTGCCTCGCTGCCGTCATCTTCATTTATTTCGCTGCACTGTCGCCGACTATTACCTTTGGAGGCCTGCTGGGTAAGCTGACTCTTCAAGAAACAAGAAATTTGGACCTCATGTCATTTTGATACCTTCCCTCTGAAGATGCGTTATGTGTCTGTATTCACATACAGGAGAAAAAACAGAAGGCATGATGGGAGTGACTGAGCTTATTGTGTCAACTGCAACTCTTGGTGTTATATTCTCGCTGCTTGCTGGTCAGCCCCTCCTCATCATAGGCTTCTCAGGACCCTTACTGGTGTTCGAAGAAGCCTACTACAAGGTACTATATCTAAAAATGTAGTTAACACAGGAACTACTAGACACTATAACACATACTCCTGTTTTTGTTACATAATTCCCATTTTCCTGAAACATATGACTAACATGTCTGTGTCTTTTCACTCAGTTCTGTCAGGCCCACAACTACGAGTATCTGACCGGTCGAGTGTGGATTGGTTTCTGGCTCATCTTCATTGTCCTGGTGATTGTGGCTGCAGAGGGCAGCTTCCTTGTTCGCTACATCTCACCGTTTACCCAGGAGATTTTTGCTTTCCTCATCTCCCTTATCTTCATCTATGAGACTTTTTCTAAGCTCATCAAGGTAACTACTCCAGCTATTGCACAGCGCACTTCTCAATTGTTATTTTATTATGATCAGTAGTACCTTACTTGTTAGTGAAGCTGAAAGCATCCAATAATTAGGTCTAATCCTTCATTTTTCATATCTGCAAAAAGCAAACAATCGAGGATACATTGAGACACTCTTCTTGTTTCCAGGTGTTTAGGGAACATCCACTGATGGCAATGTACCCCAGTGACTCCACCCCAACTACTGAACTTCAAGATTTTGATCTCGTCTTCAACCAGCCTAACACTGCTCTTCTGTCTCTGGTCCTCATGATGGGCACTTTCTTTGTTGCTTTCTTCCTCAGGAAATTCAGAAACAGTCGGTTTTTAGGCGGAAAGGTACCCTGCTTTACTGAGTCTCTTAAAAACCTTTGGACAGCCAATTTCAGGCATTTATACAATAATACATTTATTAAAACATTTATAAAAATATTTTTCACAGGTTATGTTTGTGCAGGGAAATGGGATAATGTCAATAATGTATTCTATGCTTTTTATAAAAGAAAATGGTGTTTATCAGTTTGAATCAATAATATTGATGGATTCCACAGTGGGTGTTCATAAAGTGAGCTTCATATAAACATTCATGTGGTAAGAAGTGTGCTGAATGTTGACTTATTTTTATTTACCCTTGGTTTCTTAATATCCCCAGGCCAGAAGAATCATTGGTGACTTTGGCATCCCCATCTCAATTTTAGTTTCAGTACTGGTGGATTACACCATCACTGACACTTACACACAGGTAACTGTAATGTCTTCAGTCACACAGTCAACAGCTGAAGAGCATTTTTATTATAGTTCCAACAACTCAGTGTCTTTCCTCAGTGCATAACATTATTTTTTTATTTACTTTTAGAAACTCAATGTGCCGTCTGGCTTCTCAGTCACCTCCCCTGACAAGAGAGGTTGGTTCATCAGCCCCTTTGGTGACAAACAGCCCTTCCCCACCTGGATGATGGGAGCATCTATTGTACCTGCCCTTCTTGTCTTCATCCTCATTTTTATGGAAACTCAGATCACTTCGTACGTACAGTGTGGTTATGTACAGTGGTAATAATCTGTGTGTAATAGTAAGGTATTCTTTTTTACAAACTGTGCAACACTTTTGAAATATTTTCCCATTTTTCCTTCAATCTAACAGATTGATAGTCAGTAAGAAGGAGCGTCACCTGGTTAAAGGCTCAGGCTTCCACCTGGATCTTTTGCTCATTGTCATTCTTGGTGCCATCTGTCCTCTTTTCGGCCTGCCGTGGCTCACCGCGGCCACTGTGCGTTCTGTCACTCACGTCAACGCCCTCACCGTCATGAGCAAAGCCACGGCTCCTGGCGAAAAGCCCATGATCCAGGAGGTGAAAGAACAAAGGGTGACTGGGCTTCTTGTGGCTATTCTCGTTGGTAAGAGGAAAGGGACGGATGGGAGTGTGTGATGCCAACTGACCATTCGCTAGACCCCACCCCCAAACAGCAATAGTCCAATAATAACATAGCAACCGTAGCTAGGCACACAGGCCTGTGAAGTTTGGGATTTCTACACATGCTGAAAAGGTGCAGATGGGGTTGTAGTAAGAGTAATACTCACTATCTCAGGACTTCAGAGGGTGATTTAGCCTTTACAAAAATAAAAACACTAGAATTTTTTTTTCTAAGGATTGCATTTAACTGTACGTCCATCTGCTCTAACATTAGCTGCAATTTGTAGCATACCTGGCTAACAACCTTACTACCTACAGTAGTAACTTGGCATTATTTCCAAAGCCATGTCATTAGCAACTACATTATTTTGTTGGGTTACAGATTATTATGAACACACCCCAGTCAAGATGCTAGTATATCACAATTTAGATTAATATTAGTGACTGTCCTGCTTTTTATTTGGTTCGGGGAAGATAACATGCCAGCAACTCAAGTGAAAATTCTTTATATTAGCATTACATTTGCCAAACTCCTAACTAGTCTTCATCCTCAGTGCATTTTCTCTTGTAAAGTAAAGCATACTGTTTTGAAATTCATTTAAATTCAGAGCTAACTAGCTCTGCTCTGAGACACAAACAAAAGCTAACACAGATGCTCCTTTATTTCTTTGACATGTATCAGCTGGAGAGGATGATGACTTTTAGCCTGGGACAGGAAGCTTTAGCCTCAGTCTTTTTGCATGATATCGTGTATGCAGCCATCGTGCTACTTCTGCAGCACCTGCATGTCTTGACATTCTTGAAGTATGAATCAGCCGTTGGAAAAGCTTAAAATGATTTTATATTCTGTTTACAAATTGTCTTCAAAATGAACTGAAACTGTCATTTTTCCAAACGAAAATTGTTGAACTCAAAATGCAAGTTCTGACATTGCAACATTGTTTTTATCCACTGACTAGTACTACATTGCCAGCAGAATATCTTGTTTCAATTAAGGTAGGGTTCCCAAAGTAGTCTTAAGTATAGTTTGATCCAGTTTGGGTATACAACCGTAATGACTCATCATGGTTGTTGAGCTTTTGTTTGATTGAAAGGCTGTTTGGATTAGGAATAAGACTTTCTGGATTAGCCCAAATAGCGTTTCGACCAAGGCAGCTGAACAGCGAATGTTTCAAATAAACGGCATTGACAGTGTGTTTGTCATGAGGTCTGTTCCCTTCTCGAATGAATAATTCTCTCCACCGGTCTTGTGCATGTGCGTACTCCCTAAAAGACAGTAATATGATTTGAAAACCTCACCTATAACCCCCTTTCTGCCCATCAGGTATGTCCATCGTGATGGAAGACGTGCTCCGCCTCATCCCTCTGGCTGTGCTCTTTGGCATCTTCCTGTACATGGGGGTCACCTCTCTGACAGGCATCCAACTGTACGAACGCATCACACTCATGGTCACGCCCGCCAAGCATCACCCCGACCACATCTACGTCACCAAGGTAGAACACGCAATAAGAACGTTTACATGCCCTCGCCTTCTATTATTAGTGGTAAGATGCAGAAGCCAAACCCAGCAGAGTGGTAAGTGCAGCAGAGTCCACGCAGCTGTTTTTCTGCAGTCTTGGTTTTCAGCTCTGTTTGATGGAGTGATTCAGATCCCTGTATAGATGATACGTGAACATTATCCAGATTTTTACAGCTATGCTAGTCTTGGACTCCTCCACATCCAGAAAACTGTCATTTCTTCACCAACAGAGAGTTACAAGCAGAGTCACAGACTTCCAAGATGCATAGGGAAAGGAAAATGTTGCTGGAGTTTTGACCCCAAACAGAGAGTTACCTCAACAGTTTAGGATAAACACACAGTCTGGTTTCTGGCCGCCTGGTCACCGCTGGATTTAGCTTCTCCATTTGATCATCAGTAATGGAAGAATACAATTAATCATGTGCATTACTGGTGTCAGACCTTCAATTCATTTTGTTTATCATCATAGTTTTTTTGTGTTTCTGACTAACTGCTATGTAACACTAGTTCTGGACGCACCTGCAGACAGCATCATCAGAAACCTGGATAAGGGGTATTCCTTTTTCTATCTTAAAGCTAGCACATTGCTGTCTCTTAAAAATGGGACATGGCTTATCTATGTTGTTGAAACCAGGATCTTTAGTTTTTTTGTAGGATGCCTAACCTGGATACTTAACCTAATCATAGTTAAGGTACTAGACATACTAAACGTACTTAATGATGAGCAAGGGGGTTACTATTTAAGAATAGGTACAAACTTTTTCAGATCTATCTTAAAAACAAGTCAGGTGCCCATATGAACACTGAAACTGTTTTTGCTTGCTGTACTGCTCATACAGGCAATTCAAAGATCCCTTTCCAACAGGCTTCCAGTGAGAGACAAAATCAGCAGTCCTCTTGGAAAAACGTCTTCTAAAGTTTATTTGAATATGATATGATGAATCTTTTTATTATGAAAGCCCCTCCCTGTGTTTCCCCACACAGTGTTTCCTTGCTGAGTTGCAGCAGAGGCACAGTAACAGAGGGGAATTTTCATAATAAAAACACTTTATCTGATACTAAAGAAAACCCAGGACATGGGGTTTCTATCAGGCAAACAGCAAACAATGCTTCTACTTCAGGGTTGCCAAAGCTAACATAATGATTTAAAATATAATAATTTCCCTTCCCTTTATTAATACATAACCAACCTTCAACACAAAAGAGAAAAAACACTGCAATGTGTAACTAAAAAAGTAAAAAAAACAACAAAACATAATTGCGAATTAAGAGAGGAGTGTAAAGATGAAAAAAGAGGTTTGAGTTTTTTACTGGGGGCAGACTAGTTGCACACCAGGGTGGGGTGGATCACTAGATCCTGTTGTGAGTATTGATTTTTGTGTGAATAGAATCAACATCAAAAAGACTCCCATTAGATCCTCTCAGGGGACATGAATATTCGTCTTAGTGCATGCTCTCTCTGTTTCTCTGCTGCTGTTGTGTGCATGCACGCAGGGACCACCTTGCTAGTTCAAAGAATTCACACAGTAAACATTTATTTATTTAGTCTTTTAACATGCATTTGGTTAAGAAATGAATAGACAATACAAATAAATGTGTTTGGTAAAACTCAGAAGTAGTTAGTTAATGATGCCTTTACACCTTGTAAATCATGACACATGGTTCTATAGCTGGACACTAACAGCTCATCTGTCAAAATTGGTGATTGAAAACCAATTTTATGGTGCATGGAAAACACAGGAAAAGGACAAGAAAACTTTACAGAAAATTCAGTCTCTCTTGCTTTATTTTTACACAAAGCATCAGATGCAGGATTTTCCACTAGATGGAGCCAAAAACATGTGAGATTTTCTTCAAGCAGGGGAGCAGTCTGGGATTTAGTGTGTTTAATGTGTCTCTATGTTTCTGTACTGTGGTCTATGGTCTTTTGGTTTTCTACCCTTCAACCACCACATGTGTGTCGCTTCAGGTGAAGACATGGCGCATGAACATGTTCACCATGATGCAGCTGGCGTGCATCGTGGCTCTGTGGGTAGTGAAGTCTACTGAGGCCTCCCTGGCGTTCCCCTTCGTCCTCATCATGACGGTGCCGCTGCGCCGCGTCATCCTCTCCAGGATTTTCGAGGAACGTGAGCTCCAGGCGGTAGGTTGGGGAGCAGAGACATTCTAGGAATGTTTGAATCTTTGCCACAATGATCTGATCCCACATAGCCATGGGATACTTATTTTACAGCAAATTCAACATTAGATGGATGTTGGCGTGTTTTTTTTTCTGTCTAACACTAACATCTCTTAAAGAAATGCTACGAACGATTTTCTCTTCGGTGATGGTGGACAGCTTTTTCTTCCAAATATTTTTAAAACGAAATGCAAATATTTCTTTTTGCTCTGCGTTCTAACCAGAAAAAGATTCACTGTCCATCCTGAAGCGGGGCTTCATGTTTTCTTGGTTAGATCCCCCAAACCCATACATGTCGTCACTGTCAGATTAAAACCTTTAATTTCCAAAATGTCAACTGTTTCAGGAGCAAGAATAAACAGCTTTGTTCTGATCTTGACCACCATTCGTGTTGCGTTCATCCAAAGGTCTCATGAACCCGGGGCACTGCAGAATTTCCTCAAACTACAGAGGACCTTGGAATGAAGTTTAAACTTTAAAATGATCTTAATTGGACCTCCATGATGTCAGGCCCCTCAGCCTTCTAACCTTCACCCTTATATGAACCGGATTTTACTCTAGTTTTCCATAATTTTATTCTTTGCTTTGTTCTTCTCTACCAAACACATTTTGGTCCCAAATGTTTTTAGTTCTTGTGAATCAGAATCTTTTTACAAACAAACCAAGAGCTGTAAGCATGAAGAGCTGGAGCTTGCTAATTAAAGAAATAGTTTGACATTTTGGAAGAGACTTGGGCTTTCTTGCCAGGAGTTAGATAAGAGGACTGATATTGCTCACACGTCTGTATGTTAAATATGAGCACCAGCAGTCGGCTAACTTAGCTTAGCACAAAGATTGGAAAAATTGGCATGTTATCCCCCATACAATGAAAAATTGTTGTTTTTACACTTTGGTTTTTGTATGGATTGACCAAATGCAATACCACGTGTGAATGGTGATCTTACACAGTGCTCGTAAGATTTTTTATTTTTTTTTACCTTTGGACAGTCAGGCTAGCTGTTTCCCCTTCTTTCAGTCTTTATGTTAAGCTTAGCCAAAATGTCAAACATTTCCTTCCATACTTCAGATCTAATCAGATTTAACAGTAGTTTAGTTGTTGAATTCACGCTAAAATCATATATCTACTATCATAAAACCCACCGGGAGTCTACCTGAAAGCACACTGAGACCGCACCAGAGTTTGTTTGAACAGCACGAGACAGGTTAGGCGTGAAAGCATCTTAAGTTGTCTTATTTTGACCTTTGAGCAAACGCTGAATGAAAATGATGGAGGATAATTTGCTTTTTCACAGCTGGATTGCGACGAGGATTCTCCCAACTTTGATGAAGATGGACGGGATGAGTACAACGAGATCCACATGCTTGTATAAATTTAAACTGGACCCAGCCCGCAAGACTTCCTCCGTCCTCCAGCTCTGGCCAATCACAGCAAGCCTCTTTGGAAACCTCAGTGTCTCTGGGTAGCGGTGAAGCGATAGGAGCTACCGTAATGGTGTTTGTAAAATATTCAAAAGCTATAGCTGGATAATCACTTCTTACCTTTGTTTATTCCAGTCTTTTAAAATAGCACACCTAATGTTAGATCTCTGTGGTGGTGGTGTTGTGTTAAACTCCCTGAAGATTTTATTGTGTCAGAGGCCTGGAAATAGGTCTGAGCACCCAACCTGACGTGGACGATGCAAATCTAGCAAAAAAAACTTTTTATCCTATGTATCCCTTTAATTACTCTGCAGGTTCTGGGCATAAGTGCAATGATGATGGTGACCTCTAGGACTACAGTGGGCTGGATGATTTAGACTCATTATTGTCCTGAAGTGGGAAATGGGGTCAACTTACTTTTATTTCATTCAAGAAGCGGATTTTCTGCTGAACTGACCCTAAATCTCAAAGCCCTAAATTCTACTGCCTATGTATTTGAGCTGCCGTGTTCCTTTATACTACTGCCACTGGCTATAGGTTGCAATGATGTGCAAACAAGGAGTTAAGTAGTACTTTTCCTTTCTGTACAGACTTTTAGTAATGAGCACTTTGACTGGGCAAAAGTTCACATTTGTTGCTGCCAACCAAGCTCCCTGGCACAAGCCTCCTCTCTAAATGTAGTCTCCCATTGAAGCCAAAATCTCTACAGAGACTGTGGAAGCCTCTTCAAGGGGTGTTACTGTACTTTGTTAGGTGTTTAATGCCCAACATACCAGTCCACTGACCCCATTATTGTGACCTTGGATGTATAAGTAAATAGCTAACATGGTCTCAACCTTATTTTTCTACTTTGTTGTATCTATTTATTCTGTGACTTTGGACTTAATGCCATGCCAGATTCTCAGTGATGTTTAGACTCCAACTAGCTTAAGAGTTAGTATAAAATAAAAATAATATTGTGTAGGTTGACACATTCAAAACAGAAAATATGTCATTATTCAACCATTCTTTCATCTTCTCTGCAATATTTCCATTGCGTGGTGCATTTTTTCACTGATGTCATGAATGATATAATAACACACTTGACTGGAAAAGCATAGAAACTAAGCAAACACACAAGTACTGAAAATGCTGGGGAACAGTTGAGTGTTGGCAGAATGTATGAATGATGCATTGTACAGTAAGACTGTGAGCTTGGAATTATAATGTACCATCTGTGTTCAGAGTTGTTTTGAAATGCCCAGAGATTTAGTTTTCACCTCCTATATTGCGAGCCTGCTATATAATTTTAATTACCACTCAGACATGACAATTTTCAGAAACCTTACTTCTGTCACACAGTTGTTGAAGCAAAATTTCACAAGATACTTAATTATTCAGTAACAAATTGTGCACAGTCTGTGATGCTCTTATTTAAGAAGGCCAGTGTGTTAGACTACACTCACTGACAAATATTCTACAATTTTGGAGCATTCTCTGAATGTCGTGCAGACATCGGATTTAAGCAACTATGGGAAGTTCTGCCAACTTTCTCAAACATGGTAATAAGGTTTTATTAAAAGTAATAGGCAAAGATATCAGCAGAGGCACTTGGACTTGAATGACGAAATGAGTTAGTATACCATTCCTCTGGCATTATCTCTGCAGTGTAAAGAGGCCTACTGAACTCTGTAATCACTGATCAAATTCAAGGACAATAGAGATGACAGGAGTTTCCCTGAGAGATAATTAGTATGCAGAATCCTTCCACCTCCTATCTCCACACTTTTCACTTATTCACCTCTACACTGTACCTGCTGCTGTGGATAAAGAACTTTATGGTGGAATCAGAAAGAAAAGAAACACTGTGTGACAGCTGAGGAGGTTTCTGGAAATAGCTCTTGTTTTCTTTTGATAATAATGATTACTGCTGCAGGCAAACTTAAAAACTCCAAAGTGCTAAAAAGTGAAGCACAGATTTTGACATTGTAAAATTACATTAAAAGAGAAAATATTTTAATGGTCAGCAGTGTAGTATAGTTTTTGTAAGCTACCCACAAGAATGATCTCATGTCATATACCCATGCCCTACATTACGAGCCATGCAAGAACTCTCTCTCAGGGGAAACTGACCTTCGATCTGTAAATATTGCTTCCCAGCCTTTAGTTTGTTGTCTCTTTTGTGTACATAAAGCGGTCAAGGCAATCCAACATAAAATATATGGCTAACAGTCCAGGATTATGTGTTGTACAATGAAGAAAAAGAGGTCAAGAGAAGAGAATAATGTGTTTACTCCGGTGAAGTGACATGGAATTATAACTGTAAATTAATTATTTTTTCCCCCTCCTCCATTGTTCTCTTTGCACTTGAAGTTAAACTTTGATGTGAAGCACACACCTGCTGTAATCTGTGTTTCATTCTGCAGCTCCCCAAGTTAATGAGTTACTCAATGTGCTTTACATCAGCACTCTATAGAAGTTTCATTTGAAAAAAAGGCTGCACTGTTAATGGACCTTTTCATGTTTCAGGGACTGGAATGGCAAACTGAGGGCAAAGACACTGATATATTTTCTCCATTATACAAGGCCCCACTGTGTTCATGACATTACTGAATGTAAATGTTTGGCGGTCTGTATTTTCAGGCACATGATTTTACTTGTCAGGTTTAGCAAAGTTGAATTACAATTTATCGAGTTTCATTAACGGCAAAGCTACTCAGTGATATTTGACGGTTAAAGATGCTTTGAGCTCGCAAGTAGGATTATGTGTTAGATGTAAGTGAGTATGGCTGTAGCCTAAAGTTTAGAAATGCTGAGGTTTAGCCAAAATCTCACCCCCACAAATAGTTTTAAAGAGAGCAGGGGAACAACATTTAGGGGTGAAGTTGTACCATTTGAATACAGCTCAGCTTTTCAAGCATGTAGGTGAAACGACAGTGGCTGCAAAGCGCAAAAGGCCCTATGTAGAGCCAGTGTTTGGCTTGTTATAATCTTCTTTTATATATGTTTATATACATATATAAATATAAATATAACTTTAAATTATGAAAAGTAACTTAAATTCGTGTCCACACATTTCTAGAACAAAAACACAGAGGACATGACTTCTGTGAAATAGTAGCTACAGCCCTAAAAGCAAGCAGTAAGGTTTCCTCTGCTCTCTGTCTTCAAAGTCACACATTCTGTGTTTTGGCAGTTTCTATTCCTTTCATGTAAACTCCAACTTGAAAGAGAAGAGTCCATTGAATTGAAGCAGTTTGACATTCTCAAGACCTCGGACTTCTTGACTATCAGCTCCATAAAAGCTTACATTTGTTTTGTGCGTCAGGAATAGTTTTGACATTAATAAACCTCCATACATAACCAGAGCAGGCTAATATTTAGTTGATTATTCACACAACACTTACTGTACAAGTGCAATGCTATAAGAAACAAAGATTAGATGGACACCAACTGTGATTGGAAAAAGGCTGAAAACATTTTGACCTGGGGACAAAATGTCTTTTCAAATAAAGATTAGAATCATTGTGCAGTTGTTTCTTAACTAATATTCCATTAGAGTGTTAACATCTGTGACTTTCGACCAATCATTATTTGGTCCCTGTAGTTAGCGTCTACCTTCTGAGTCCAGTGAAAGTGTAATTGCTCTGCTGGTTGACCCACAGTGGTATAAGAGTCACAAGTGCCAATGTCCTTTGTTGTCTGAGAACACAAGTCTGTTAGACTGTTCAACACATCCACGTGCTCTTGTTATGACAAGAACTGGTGTGTCTGAGTATGTGTGGACGCCATAGCCAAGACAGAGCCGGCAAGCATATACTTAGCAAAACATCCTTTCGGTATTTACACAAGAGAAAAAGTGGAATTGTGGGTATTATTTAAGATAATAAAAGGTGTGGTGCTGCCACTCTGTCCTGTCTGGCCGCTAGATGTTGAAACACGCAAGATGAAAAGAAAAATAGTTTTTTTGACCCTCAAACAGTTCTGCCATGTCAATGTTCTGAGTTCACCACAAATCGTCGCCTTATACCACCATGGTAGCAGGGCAGACCACCCACCCAAATCCAAGACTTGGCTCTGTTATTTTTGAACCTCTTTTAATTCAACGTCATTGGTTTGAGTAAAGACGTCTGGCGATCTTGGAGTTCTAGCATATGGAATAGTGTATTAGGTTTGACCGTTATTTAAGTATAAATCAGATATGTGTGAAATTAGATGAACTATTATAAGGAAGGTTGTTCACGGCGATATTTCCTCAAGAGCAACAGAGTTATAGTGAATAGTATCTTCTGGATACTGCAGGAATGCAATTCATTTGTATTTAATTGCACATCATACCAAAGGATTAGTTCCTTAGCAGGATTAGTTTCCTAATTTTGGTCTTCGTTGTCACATTTTGTTGATCTCCTTTGTTGTAAATGAAATATTAATCCTTTGTGTATAGTCTTTTTTTTTATTCAGTGACATTCTCAATATGAAAGGTTTTATTTAAGTGTTGTGACAGGTATGTTCATTCAGGAACGTGCCACACCACTCATTTAAAGCTAGATTTCCATAAAACTTCAGTATTTATCTCAAAGCTGCATTAAGCAATTATGCTGGGCAAGTGCACTCAGCGGAGAACAGATCTGCTGATTTGAGAGTTGATTCTCAGTGTGATTGGCAGTTATAGCAACAGTTTCACATTATAGGCAGTCACTAGATTCAACGTTGAAATTGAAAACATTGCTTAATGGGGCTTTACTTTGCTTTGATAACACACAGCCGTTCTTCATGAGGTCTACACAATTCTTTTATGTATACTAATCTGATGACAAATTATGAAATGCAGTATGTTTGCATTCGTAACAGACTGACACTTTGTCATGTGGATACTTGAATAGCAGGTCCATCTTGCTATTGCTGTAAAGAGGTTTTCAAACAACTGTAAAACATTATTTTTTTGTCTGAAATAAATATTTATTATGTGTTTCAAATAAAAAACTGAATCATTCTTTTTTTGACAGCTTAAAAAACTGACAATACAATACAGATAGTTCAAGTATCATGTAGACTTCTGGAATGAAGTCGGTGGGAAACAGTGCAGTAAATCATTGTTAAGGTTTTGTTTCTACTTACTATAGGTGCCAGATGGGTGGGGTTCACCATATATGACAAAATAATGAGTTCCAGAAAGTTGAGACATTCACAGCAAAGCATTTAGACAGTGAAGTATAAATTACTGTCTACAGAATGTATATATTTGATGCAACCTCATGACACACCCAGCCATTGAGATACAGAACATTTGGCAATTGAGGAGAAAAAAAATACTACAATAATAAATGGCTTTAAATTTGCTTTGGAAGGAATATCAGCCCTTTTATATGATGCAATCTAATGTATTACAATAATAATTTGAAGAACAAGAATTGAACATATTGCCTACAATTGGACACTTAAAGAATACTCCCACTTTATTATTTAACAGATTGTAATAGTGGAGTGATTTTTTTTAAAGGAAAACTGCTGTACTCTGCAGAGTCTTATTTTCATATTTGTTGCTGTTCTGACTATTCATGCCAACCTTTCACTTGTCTTGACTTCAGGATTATATTAAGGCTTTAATTAATTAAGCTTTAGCCTCCTACAGCCTCCTAAACTTTTACATAAATCATTTCAAATGCTCATCTATGAGTCGGACCAAAAATAAACACAGAAATTAGACCCATAGATTAGCTATTGTTCTTTACTACATAGGGGTCTACTTTCCAGGGTAACTTACCAGCTAACCAAACTAGCTATTTATCTTCAGTAATGACATGTATTACTTATCGGGTCATACATTGTGATTCTATTTCAGCACAGGTAAACATAGATATTACTAAAATGTCCTAAAAGACATTTGCCTTCAAGGGGTCGTAATCATTTTTCAATCAATTTGTCTTCCCTATTAATTAATTTATTTCCTCTGTGTACTCTGATTCATTTATGTGGTTGGTTCCAAGTAAAATGAAAATTGATAGTAACACACAGCCTCACCCTTGTAAACAAACATAGCCGACAAGTTATCTAATCATCTCTGTGTTATGTGTTCTGGCTCAAAGACAAAGTAAAGTTTATTCAAAAAAATGATGTCGTAGATGTTGTTTTGCCGATGTCCACATTTCCCAGTTTCTCTGTGCTAGAGGTGGCGAGTGCAAAGTTAGCATGCCCCAATGTCAGAATGGCCACAATTATGAGAATAAGTGCCAGGCTGAAAAACACTGCAATTTACCTTGGTCAGATCACTACATCAGAGCCCCAAAGTTCTGGGCATCTCTATGTTACAAGTGACGAGATTAACACACAGAAGCGGCAAGAAAAGTGTGGCAATTATAACAGGTGCAACTAACATAATGAGAGTGGTGAGTGGGGGGTCCTGCACCTGTCCACAGACTGAAAAGTACATCTCATGTACCTCAAAGAAGACATTGTCTACCAGAAATCCATAACCCTTACACCAAGACACATTTGCCCAGTCATCCACGCAATGCTTCAGTTTGTTGTAGATGCTGCAAGAGAAGAGAGCAAGGACAAAGGTAAGGTGGTGAATTCATATTAATCTGCAGGCTGAGAGTCAGATATCGATAATTCAGACTAAATTTACCTGAAACGGTTTAGTCAAGGGCACAATGTACATCATTCCTGTATTTCGTTGTTGCAGTTGCATAGTGAAGCAATAGCAAACAGCACTGCCATGCAAAAGTCAAATATATGTTCACTGTGTTATCAAACTCTATGTTTCCAGTCTCTGTATATTGACTTTAATTTCATTTGGAAATGAAGAGAATACAGTGCCAAAGCATTTAAAAATAGTTCCACATCCAAATGAAATGAATAAGTAACAAAATCATCTTCTTAAAAACCCTGTTAATTATGTTACAGCTAAGATGAGTGACATGACAGCTCCAGGCTGTCACAGTAATGCAACACGCTTTTCAGCATTTTCCAGGTGACCAGCAGTCTGAAATAGGATCTGTCAGAATGATGGAATCAATGACAAAATCTCTATGAAGGGGTGCTCTGATTAAAAAAAAAAAGTTGGGAACCAGTGAGCATGGTTTGGAAAGTGGTCACCACTGTATATGATTTAAAGTTAATTGGCTAAAAAAAAAAACCCTGCCGGTGTGGTCCTTTAAAGCTGCAACTTTAATGTTTAAACTTTTAGATAATGCAAAGTGAGCCAAAAATATCTAGCCCTAAGCGTTTTACAAATGGAGAAATCGCCCACTGATGTTTAGGAGGCAGCTTACGTTTCACTGTTAAGTTTTGATATGTCACATCCTTTGGGTGGAGAAGCGACATTAGACGGCATAAACCAGCATAAATCATGCGAACTGTTGTCACTACAAGATTTTAGTGTGGAAAACATCCACTGAGATTGAATTAAGCCTGACAGCTGGAAGCCTGATCAACATGCTAGGCTCCTTGTGATGATGGACACTCCACCCATACACTATTTGAGCTGTATGGGAGCTCAGCCCCAACAGTAAAACAGGGATTATTACAACCGTAATTAAAGTCTACGGTCTACTGTAGCACGGCGAGAGTGAAAGTCTCCACAAATAAACTGCTGTATGGAAATACGAGCCCAGGAGCAACAGTCTAGCACTTTTTCATCAAAAGTTGCGTAATTAGCTGAAACTTTGACCAGCACCAAATGTAGCCAGGAGACAGGAAAGTATCTGCCTTTCCCATGACTAAAGGTCATATATCTTTACTGAAAAGGCCATAAAAAGTGCGTAATGTGCCACTTTATCCAGCCCTCCTGTGTTTTCACTCTCTGGGCTCTAAAATGGTGAGCTCAGGGACGGCTTCCTGCAAAACATGCATGCCAAGGCTCAAACAGCAACAGCATTAGCACAGACTCATAGATGGCACAGCGCATATACGTTTTTAATGACGTTTTTTGCTAATTACACACAACTTATCATTACAGATCCCCTCCAGACATTTTAAGACTTAAAGAGTCTACTTGGAACAATAATGTGAGTCTGAGGTGTTTTTTTCCCCCATAAAATCAAGTATAATTTCCAAATTAAAATCCATAATATGCAAATTTTGTGAATTTCTAAATGTTTCCTGCTGAACACAACATGTCTCCTAATCATCTGTAAAGTCAATTCTCAGTGTATGTGCATTGGTGGCTTCCACTTTCTACATCACACTCGTATAGGTTGCAAATTGGACCAGAACCCTACAGTTACTAAATGATGAGAAAAAGAAAATGTACCTTTTTACAGCAGGCCATGGGCATTTGTCCTGATAGCCACTGGACTCCAAGCTCTTGTTGAAGTCTGACAGGCAGTTGTCAACATTGCTATCAAACATGTGCTGGTCACATGGTGGAACAATAAATTTCACAGCCATTCCTGGAGAAAACAGACACTTGGCATAAGTTCTCAAAAGGTTTTCCATAGAGAATATCGAGCCAAACAACTAGCAATGTTGCCAATTAACAAATGAAACCTTACAAAATGACAGAGCTCAATGCCATTTAGCTAAATCTCTTCTTATTTCATCACACAAAAAAGCTGAACATTTTTTCAGTTTAGAAGAGAATCAGTGATGATGATGATACTCAAAGCCCTTTCCTGCTATGATCTTGTTTTCAGCAAACTGCAGAGGCAGTGCGACCTATGCCTTACTGACTGAATGAGACCAGGCCAGCCCGTACTAAGTGGCTACATTTGAAAATGTAGTGTTAAGTATAAAAATGACATGTCCCTGTTTTTGTAAAGATCTTGTCCACACTGACATACCTGAAAAATTGCTTTTGATTGTTGGTATAAGTTCTACCTGTTAAACAAACAGTATTACATGCATTGCATCAAATCATTATTTTATAATTGTGAAGTTGTCTGACAAAATCTTCATGTGTCTGAGCTTTTCTACCTCACATTTTCAGATTATAACAAACAGGCAGCATTTTCAGACTTATAACCCCACTGGAAAGAGTTTTTTTAAAAAAGCTAATTTTGGGGGTGTCGCTTTAGTATGTTTGGGTATCCGAAATAAAGAGAAAAACACATTTTTTAAATGTAGTGTTCTAAGTTCTAAGTGTGGACTGACTAATACATAATGAGCATCAGTTTCAAGGTAACCAGATGGGTAAACTTAAAAATTTTGGATGGTGCATATCATATGTGTATGTTTTTAAATATCATTAAGATATATACCTGGCTATATTTACATTTTGACTTACCTGTCCAGACGAAGACAAGTACCAGCAAGAACGCAGTCAGCGTCATCTATTTAAATAAAAACAACCAAAACAAACATACAATAGTATTCAAATATGTCATAGTTTTTAATTTTTTACACAGTGTTCTGCACAATCAGTGATCAATTACCTTATATTAAAACACAATGAAGATAAGATAAATGGACTGATGAATGGAAGCATGGAGTTCTCTGCTTCCTCTGTACAAGCAAAACGCATTTTTTGTCAAAATGTTTGTGGTCTCAGTTTGTGATATCTGTCATGCCAAACGCACGCAGGCCCTTTTTTCTCCACTTCCTCCCCCACACTTCAGCAATAACGTGCAAGACAGTAGTTTGATTAAATGCACAACTAAATCAAAAACGACCTCCATACAAACATTTTACACAGGTGACACATAATTTATAGTGAGAGAGAAAAAAAAGAAGAAAATGGTAATTAATCTACCCTTACATTTACTGTGAGGCTACTTCTCAAGCAGCATTTCAAACATGTTCAACTCATTTCAGGCTACACATTTTAAAAAGAAAAAAAGAATAAGATGTGTATGAAACAGACGTGATGACCATCTGCTTCCTGGACATTCCCACAAATTAATGAATTTATCTCATGGGAGGCAGACACTGAAAACAGATGTTACGAGGGAATGCAGTGAGAGGAGGGTTTTTTTTTTGGCTTTTAGTTTTTTTTTATATGCACACATGTAATATCTGTGAATTCTCCAACTGGCTAGTTAGTTACAGTTACTTTATAAACCAAAGTTATTGTACTCAACAAACACATCAATCATACAAAGCAGGTTTTAAATCTTAAAAGCCCGAACTGATAAGCAAAGATAAAATGCTGTAGATGCACATACCCCCAGCTTTTTTCCTTGTGGATCCCTGGGAAAAGCCTTGATTAGAACCTGTGCTGAAGATGCTTCAAATCGTTTACCAGCCAAATAACAGATGTACGACTGGTCACAAAAAGCCTCTGTGTGATCTGGTCCAGTTTCTTATCGGTGCAACTCGGAGCTAATTGGATTGTGCAACACCAATGGACAGCCTGCTTCCTTTCCCAGACTGAGCCCGGCTGTTCCCATGCTACCCAAAGACATGTTCCACACACAGCCCCCCAGGGACACTTGAACTATAGAGGCCTCAGTGTCAGCAAGCCTGCATGGTTGTATCACAGATATATTTGATGGCAATGTTTCTGTCTTGTGGTAATTCCTTCAGGTCAGAGGGGAGGGGGTTAGAGATCAGGAGGTGGACTATATTATGCTAAAGATTTTTGCAGCATGGTTTTAGCAAAAGGTTGAAAAAATACCTTAAACAGATTGCAAGGCTGATTTTGGCCCCTGAAGTTACCCATCCATGCTCAGCACTTGCACTACTGGCTAGAGATGCACATATTCAAATGTGAACATGTACACATACACATAAACAACCATTAAACGGTGCAGAATGCTACTGGAGTGAAACCAAACTGGGAACATAAGTTTGGTCCCCAAATATGACAAACTGTAGGATACTGGATTTGAGATGTTTGCTCGAACTACTGTAGTAGACTGCAGTGAGAATGTCCACTGTTGTACTGCAGAGTGTACGAGACACTAGAAAACTTGACCTAAATGTGTGATAACTGGCAGTTAACAAATTTGACATGAGGATTGGCACAAAAATGATTTTTGTCTTTCAATACTTCCTCATAAATGCAAAAATGTATTATTTTTGGCCTTTTGGGGGAGCAGAACAAGCTGAAACACAACACTGACATATTAGTCTAATTTTAAGTTGTGTTTCTATCTGCATGGCACATCCAAGTCCAATATTTACTCTCATCTTAGCCCTGTTTTGGTCTCCAACAGCTCCTGAGGGAAATATCTGGCTCTTTAGTTGCTAAATGCTCTGCTGTGTGTTCACCAACTAGTTGTTAACTTTGTCTTTCTTCTAGTAGCAGCTGCCTGCTGATCTGGAAATGTTTTGAATTGTAAAAAGTTAAAACAATGTGCTAGAAGATGCTAAAACACTCCATAGAACTAAGGGGAATTGTAGTTTCAGGTGATAAATCTCTTTTCACATTTTGAGTGTACAAAAAAACATGTTAATCTCTGCACTTACTGGATCAACACAAGGGATGTTTGCTGTGTGGCTAACTTTTCTTGTATCAATGTGTAAACAATGCAAGTTGCAGTTGAAGTTTAACAAGGAGACAAATCTGCTCTAAAAAGCAGAACCATAATTGTAGCACCACAGTGGACGGAGCCAGGTATTCACAGAGATGACTGTGGTGGCAAACCTCTTATTATACTCTGGTTAAGGTGACCACTGGATACTGGATCCTAGTTCTAGCTCTTCGTGTACAGCCACTATTTGATAAAAATAAGGCTGGACAGAGTTCTTGCTGCAGGGCTGTTTGGTGTTCTCTGGAGTAATTACATGATAATCTGCTTCCAACAGATCTGCTACTGAGCCTGCTTCCCCAAGCACCCAAAGAACACTGTGGATAGTTACATTTTTTGAACTTACGTGTTTGAACTTTTTGTGTCATCAAATCTGTTAGAAAGAACAAAAGTTCCCCTGTGTGGAGAATATTAAAAAAATACTACTTTTGTTGTGTTATAAGAGTGAGTTAAAAGAATTTTCTTTCATTAAAAAGCATCTTACATCTTACATAAATCCCCCTCCTGAATCATCCTCTTCACTGTACACACATCTTTTGCATGTCTGTACGTCCTGGGAGAGTGATCCTTCCACTTTGGGCTTCTTCCATTTTTTTCCCCGTTAAAAGAGTTTCCAGTCGAGGGTCAGAGGTTGTTGTATTCTGTACGGACTGTGAATCCCCCTGAGGCAAAATGACATTAACTTCATATGACTAGAACTTCACTTGGAATAGCATTAGCAAAACAATCTATCTAACCGTGACTGCTGTTTGTTGTTAATGACAAAAGAGAAATAAAAGTAATGTAATGTTCCTAATTCTAAATATTTTAGGAAATTACAGGCACACATATTAATTAAAATTGTGCATTACTGTAGAGAAAAAAAAGATGAGCAAGAGTAACCATTTGTTGTACACATTTTGCTTTTTATTAAAAATCTTTCCAAGACCTTTTTTTCTCAATACTACAACCTCATCAGTCTCTTGATTAGTGCTGGATATCAGAACCTCCCAAATATAGGCCTCCTTTTCACTCCTCTCCTTTAAATTATACCCATAACTATGGAAAATGACTGACTGTGGAAAAAGTGACCACCTTTCTGTGGTATTCCATTTGTCTCGACTAAATGACTCTTTGAGAGATGGATCTTTCAGGAGCCCAGTTAAAATATCTCTCAGCACTGCACTATCAGGTCGTAAGTGTAAAATTAAATGTTCCAACATTGTTCAGCTATTGCCCATTCATTTGAAGTTGCTAAGCAACGCACACACATAATACAATCCTAATGCATTTGTGAGTGAAGAAATGCAGAGGAGTGGTCATAAGAAAACATTTCCATTTTCCTAAATTGAAGGCATAACAGTGTAAGCAAACAGAGTACACAGCAGATAGACACGGTGTGGTGCTGTTTGGACAATGTCTCTCACTTAAAGTCATGGAAAATATTTTCTCAGGTAGGAACAAGAGTAGAATTAAGGGGCCATGTAGTGACATTAGAGTCTTGGTATATGTTGCTTTACAGGAGAGGTATGCGTCATGGATAGGACACATCATCAATAACTGGCTGCATGTTTGTCACCAAAAGAATGTAGACTACACGGGCAAATATAAAGTCTACAGGATGTACTGTATCTCAGAGTTGCATTCGCAGATAAATGAACATTTCAACATATTTGGAAATAAACTTATTCACTCTTTTACCAAGAAGTTGTTTCCAAATTTGATACCACTCTGGTGCGCTCCAGTTGAGAGCGAAGCACTTAATGATGCACAATGTAATATATGCTGTCTGCAAACCAGAGGGCAGTGGAACAGTACTGACTAATTTTGGTCACCCTCTCATACCCTTCTCACCACTTTTGGGTATGGTGGCCTGTATCTGATAACAGTATAATGTTTTCACACCATTAACAATAAACTGGCTAGTTGAAACATTAATTCAATAAACGCATCTAATGAACAGAATGCTTTACCAGCCCTGTGGGGCTTGAGAATGAAATGTCTTGTGATATGCCAGTTTTTCTGTGGAACAAGTGTCTTCCCTCATCATGCAGCTGCATACAGTACGTGGGTGGGAAGGAAACTGGAAGTGCCTTAAAATGTCAGTGGTTTGGAATTTCTGTCCAAATTGAAGTTTGGGCCAGAAAGTTGGAAATTTCACCACACAAAGTGAATGCATCACTGTCTGCCACACTCTTTACACTACCTGGGGGGCGCCAAAGTGAGATATCTTAAAACCTTTATCTTCTTAAGGCTCCAGCTGCGACTTCAGCTTTTTATTGTGTTTTCCCTGTTTCTTCCCTCTGTTTCCTCCTCCCGTTTATCTGTGTGTGTGTGTGTGTGTGTGTGTGTGTGGGTGTGGGTGTTGTTGGCACGGCTCACCCCCCCCGGCACCTGGCTCATCTCCACACCTGTCCACAATCAGCTCATCAGTGCTCAGTTCAGGAACCCCAGCTCTCCTGCCATTCATCGGCAGATTAACTCTGTGGTAGTGTGACTCTCGGCCAAATAACTTCTCGTGCCTCGCCAAACTTGTTTTTTCTTCTGTGCCTCAGGATTCCAGTACCAGCGTCTCCATCCAGCCACCTTCCCACCCGCAGCTTCAGCTCAGTCATCAGCCATCATCCCGGCTCATCAGCCTGCCTGCCTTCATCAGCCCCACAAACCCCCTTTTCATCCATCCAAATATTCTTTAATAAATAATCTTACCAAACTGCTCCCTCGGAGTCTGTGTTTGTTTCTTAGTTTCTGGTAACAATCAGAATCTTATAAGAAGCTCAAATGAGATTTACATTTATGCCAGTAATGATTTTTTTTACATAAAAGGGATTTTCAACTAATAATCATTGATTATTATTGTATTACTTTTACCAACTAGGCATTAAGAGACTTTGGGAACTTATCTCAAGTCAGTCACTCCAAAAAACTTACATTCCCTCCATTGCACCTACTTTTTTTTTTCCAGTACAGAAACCTCATGCAAGTGGCAGAATCAGGCTAAGTGAGGATAGATGGAACTGACAGACATTACTTCATACTCAGACCAACTAAGCTGAAGCGTCAGTGAGCAACACTGACATCACACCGGAGCTGCACTTCAAGGCTGGAAACCCTAGCGTGTGTCCTGGGGTCAGTCAAAGACGAGGAAATATCTTCCTCGTGTAATGGGCGAGAAGCTTCCTGTTAGTGCACAGTCTCCAAGAGGTGCAACACGCGCTTCATCATATGACCGTGTTAGTCCATCATTACATCATATGTCACTATGTAATCATCATTCATGCTCCTCTGTTCTGATCCTCATTAGTGCCGTCAGTCAAACCATATTATCCTAACTTTTAGGTTTCAATTAATGGAGCAAACTTACATATTACATATCAATATCACTTGCAATTATACTGTATTTCCTTGCAAATTCCTTGAGACATTCAACACAACACCCCTCCACAATGATTGATCCACATTGTCTTATAACAATTATTTAAATCTAAAGTTCTTCAGACTTCAGAAATTCAACTCAGCACTTGTATTGTCAAAATTCAGAATAAACCCATGCTGACACAGGGAGAAAGTCTATACAGCAAAAAGAGTCCGCGATCATCTTCTGAGGGTGGCCAGTAACCATGCAGCAAAAGCCACAATGTGCAGCACATCCTTCCACGGACTACAGAGGGCGCCTTTCTTTGAAAAGCCAAGTCTTTGATTTGCGCCTCCCAAGACTAGACTATGGCTGCGTCGACAACTGGATCTTGTACTATAATTACAGTCTCCAGGCCTGTATGCACAGCCTTGCAGACTTTCTTGGTGCTCTTGATGTGCAGGCAGAAGTCTTCAATGTCAGCTAGTCCCTCCATTGTCTGGTGTGACACTTGGTCAACACTCTCGTCGTCAGCAGGGTAACTAACAACCAGAGCTGGTTCTCACTCTCTGCCTCGGTTGTAGACTCACAAGAACCAGAGGCAGAAGAATCAGCAGACTCCTTGGAGGTTTGAGGTTGGTCCACAGTGACCTCAGATTTGTTTTCCTTATCTAGGATTGTCTCTGGTGTATTTTCTAAAGATACAGCACTTCTTTCTTGTTCCTTTCATTTTCTAGGACGTGTACTGGTCTTTTCTCTGGTGTGAACTCTAATCCTGAATATGGTAAACTATGTGCTTTGATGTGTTCTTGAATCTCACTGTACCCCGAAAATGACACCCTCCCATCGCCCAGCTTTGTCTGTCGGACCCAACTGGACAGCGCAAACTGTTCATCTTGATATTAAGTTCAGTAAAAAAAGTATTTATACTACATGTTCTGAGCACCTCTTCAGTTGGACCACACCATATCCCCCATATGGTGTGGTCCAACTGAAGAGGTGCTCAGAACATGTAGTATAAATACTTTTTTTATATAGTGGGAATAAGGGGGGGGGGGATTCCCAGTCCTTACTTCATGCAAAAATGCATTAATTAGTTCAGGCGAAGCTAATATCTTCAGCAGCTGTATTATGCACCATTTATGGAAAATAGAGAGGGAAAGACTGAGATGAGATAAAGTGGAAGCTCCAGCAAGAGTTTGGGAATGACAACCACATTTACAAAGAATAGTGAGTCCATTGTTCTTTCGTTTTTGTTGACTAAAACTAGACAAAAACTATCAATAATCAAATGACTAAAACTAATAAAGATTTTGTCCAAAAGCTAAATTGGATAAAAATTCAAAAAATAACTAAATGAGGCACAGTAGTCGAGCTAAGAAAATGTACATGTTAGGTTTTGGCAGGGGGGCATATGAGGGTGGTGTGCTGTGGTCCCCACTGTGCTCACAAAATTGTTTATTTTTTTCCCTTTTGTGTGGCTCATACAGCCGCTGGCTCACTATGCCACCATCTCTGCATTCCTTTGGCATGATGAGAGAGCTGTGTGGGCCCACTTGGAGCCAGTGTTAAGACATATGATGGAGAATTGCAATCCATTTCCCACAACTTTACATGGGATGAGGTCCAGTCAAGTCTATTAGTTCAACACCATCCCTTTTCACTCCAGCAGGTGACCTCGAACTTCTCTGAAAAGTTCCATGGAAAAGGAGCCCCGATGGAGTTTGACAGCCACTTAACAGAAAGAACATTGGACATAATGTATTCTGGCTGACTGAGGAGGACATCAGAAGATATAACGAAGTGCTCCCTGAGGTTGTGCCTCTGTAAAGGGAACTTTGGTGATGCACCAGGTCATCTCCACTGCTATATGCATACATATATAAACAACATGCAGTCATCTATAAAAATCACTATAGATGACAACAAAACCACCACATTTGGCAGTATATTATACTATGTGTGGTATCATTTCTTTATTGTTGACACATTTAGAGGAAGTGGCATAGATGTATATTTTAAATAAATATGTCAAATATCGAAATACATTTTATGTGGGTAATAAATATAATAGATGATTGTAGCTTCTTTCATATCATATAGTGACCTACTGCTGGTGGCTAGCAGCCCACAGTGACACACATTTAGACATTTTGTATTGTATTGTTGAATCAATGATAAAGTCAAAGAACACCAAGGTGGACTGACAAAATAACATGAAGGAAACAAAGACCAGAATGAGGTCAGCCCTCTGTCAATCCTGCCCCGTCTCCACAATACGGTGGCCGACAAGGGCAAACGCGCCGCAAGCAGCAAAATGCTGCAAACACAGGAGTGATGCAAAACCAAAAACACACAAACCCACAGAACGACTGCAAGAGAGAAATGCTGCAAATTCAATCCACAAAACGGAAGTGCACCAGGCCACTAGGGGGACCCGACCTGAGGGATGGACCAGTTCTGTGGGACCAGACCCAAAAGACATGAAGAAGAAGAAGAAGAAGAAGAAGAAGAAGAAGAAAGTTGGCAATATTATAGAAGAGCAGCATAGTTACGTAGCTAATGTTAGCGTGCTAGAAACTTTGATTTATAAGAGCTTGTGTTTCGTTTCTGTGATTGGAGCATTTTTCTGTTGCTGCGTCTTTCTGTTGCATTTGTTTTTTGTGTTTGTGTGTTTTTGGTTTTGCATCATTCCTGTGTTTGCAGCATTTTGCCGTTTGCGGCGCGTTTGCACTTGTCGGCCACCGTACCATAGGGTACAAAGTCAACAGTCACATGTTTAAAGCTGAGGGACAGCCAGGCTACAATCAGTTGAGTTTTCCAGATGCATATGATTACACAGCACATTACGTTGAATACCACCACTAGGCAAAATAATTGGGCTACATATTAATGGAAAGTAATTTTGGCCCCCTGGCCTCACCTTTCACTGAGTGCCAGTTGACATGCAACAAATGAAGGGGCCACATCACAGACACTCAGCACTAGCTTTAATATTCCCCAGGAAAGATCTGGCTTTCTATGGTTTGTTTTGAGTTGAACTTTCTTTTATTAGGGAGTGTGCATGGTGCTGAGTCATATTTATGTTTGTCATTTCAGCGTGGCACTACAATGAACTTAACAAAAAAAATAAATGCTGTCCATCTTTCTTTCTGTTAATCGTACATTTAAAAAGAATATAGGAATGTGAAGCATACATGGTCTAACAACTCTAATTGTGCACAAATAGGAAAATAAAAAGATCCTGTCTGGGCTGTTTTGGATTTAACTGAATAACTTTGAAAACCTGCATTGATCTGTACCTGCACAAATAAACCAAATTAAATCAGTTATTCCCAGACACATACTCTGATGGTGAGAGTAATGGGCTCTTTTGATACACAGTCGAGAGTAATATGAGAGCAGATAGGACCCTGTCAGTGGCATTACAGTGTTTACCTACACGCAGTTGACTTTCAGGATCCTGAGGTTCATCCTGTTATCGTCCAAGGGTCGTTTGCCTTTCAGTGGTCACTAATACAGCCAGAAAGCTTAAGAATGATCATATATTTTACTTACGGGTTGCTGTTTGCATACTTTGCTTTGCCTGGAATCTTACTTGGAGATTTGGCTTTCCGATGTCCAAGTTGCACTGCAGAACATCTAGCTGCGTGTCCCAAAGTCACAGCAGAATGTCCAGAATTAGTGAGGGAGCCGGGATGCGGCTGCTGTCCAGTGTGTGCCAGGCAAGAGGGGGAGCTTTGTGGGGTCTACACGCCGAAGTGCTCCAGCGGCCTACGGTGCTACCCAAGCACGGAGGCTGACTTACCTTTGCAACAGCTCATCCAGGGTTTAGGACGATGTGGACAAAAAGTGGAGATGGATCTCACAACAACTTTGGACCAAGAGGCTACAAATGGTAAGTTCTTTTTTAGAAAAAGTACGGAAAAGGTGAAAGCTGCTCAACAACATTTTACATTAACAATCGCTTAAATGGCTGATGACGTGTAACATATAAGGAGTCACTCAGTGATCATTTTCACCTGATTTTATAGCTCCTGTCAGCTCTACTTAAGTTTTAGCCTCTATTAGCACATTGTTTTGGTTTCACAGCCCACAAATTTACTGTTACAGTCTAACTGCTTTTTATTAACATTGTTTTCAGGCAACTGTTTTTAGCAAAAGATAAGCAAAATACACCCACTATGTTAACTGACAATAACTAGAAGTTAGCAAGATAGTGATAATTAGCAACTTAAGAGCCAGATATTTCCCATAAGAGTTGGTGGAGACCAAAACCAAGCTATACGTATCTGTTTGTTGGAATTAATCTTACATCCACCATCAGGAGACCAGAAATAGGACTCCAAATGAATGGTTATAGTCTGTATTAAAAGTTGGATGCAGGCACCCCAAGGGCTCTTTGACTCACTCTCAAAGGTGGTTAGCTACATTAATCAGGTTTTAGTTACTTAAAAGTAACTTGATTCACGAAGGGATGATGCAGTGCTTTAACTATTACTTTCACCCTTTCCAGTGTTACTTGACTAACAGTAACAGTTGTAAATTTTCCGTTTCCCCTCCAAATCGACTAACTGCTAAATATCTACTCATATGGTCATAATACATCATTGTGGTTTTTCAAAGGATCCTTTGTCTTAATGGGAAATTACATACAAACAATAAACTAAACATTTAGGATGTAGCACAGAGATAAAAATCACACAGAAGTGGATAATGACTAGCAGTTTCTGTAAGACTTTTTTTTTGTCTGCATGACAGACATTGTTACTGCTTTCAATAAGTTTGTAAGTCTGCAACTCTGATGAAAAGATGAACATCAAAAGACTACTCTGAAAACAAACTATAATACATCCTGTAGCTTTCTTTGTGAGTGGAAGCAATGGATGCATTCTCAGAAAATGTAGCCTTTGTTTCTGGTAAATGTTACTTTATTAGAGGCGTTCATTTATGGTAATGATAGTGTTAGTCTTTAACAGTGCAGCCACTGCTTAAAGTGGCAGAGCACTAGAGGCAGTAGTTTTTGTAAATTGGAAGACTGGTCCTCTGCAAAGTACTTGGATTCCGTCATTTAATACAAACCCACCCAGTATTTCTAAGGAAGCGTCATATATCAATTAATATTCTGAAAATGTGCCAGCTAGTTTTGAACTGTCATCATACCTGGGCATGATATTAAAACAACTTGCTTCAAGTGAAGAAGTTTCATGGAGTCAAAACAATATTTTCACTGCAGGACTCTTTTTATGTCAGAAAAACCACATCTACATCAAACGTATTTGGTCACAATAACTACCCAAAATAAATAACCCAGAAGTCCTGCGGGGACAAAGAAATGTCAAGCTTTTTCTCTCCCACGTTACAGTTATTAGGGACAAAGGGTCACTATTGATTCCTGAAAATGAATTTTGACATATGCGTCGTGTTTGGCAGGCAGTGACAGGCCAACATCTGTGAGCACAAACAAGCAGTATCCCTCCGATGAACCCGTAACATGTCTGTAACCCACAGACCCTCAAAGTTATCCTATTGGGAGTGTCTTATTTTGATGCAGGCTGTTGTTTATGGTAGTTGAGGGAAGGGATTTTAAAACACATTTAAAAGTTAAAAACGCACACACATATGAATGATGAACACCACAGACGCCCTTCGGTGTTGGGAAAGTTGCAGATCTCCATGGTAACAGGTGCAACCCCATTTCTCAATCAAGCTCGTTTTGTATAATTATGTATCTTGGGTGAACTCTTCATGGACCGAAATATTTTCAGACAATAAAAGATTCACAAGAGACGTTTTCTTTTTCTGTAGGAATCTTCATTTGTTTTTAAGACTTTTCAAGGTTTTGTTGGGAGAGGGTAGTAAAAACAAACCCAATTCCAGACCCTGTAACTTTAGCTAAGCGTGATGGACTTGTCTGCCGTCCCTTATGTGATTTACCGTCTTTGGTGTTCAAAACAGTTAGAACACATGAAGGAAAAGCTGAAAATGAGCATCCGATCAGACTGTGGTTTGCCCTCAGTTCACTGTGTTATGCTTGGCTTTTCAAGCATGAGTAACTGCTGGCTATCAGATGTCAACATCTGTCTCCTTTGTACCCATTAAAATGCACATTTTGGGGTTGTTTCCTGTAGTTGGTTGAGATTACATTCTCACTTCCAAATAACCAGACTGCTGTTCACTTGAAAAGGAAAAGAGACTTGCATTTTTAAGCATTTCGTTGTGGTTATTTGATTTGATCCTGAGTTCAGATGGCATTATTCTCACATGCCTGTACTAAACTGAAGTACACAGCATGACGACCTGAGTAAACAGTCCAGAGTTCAAATAAAGCGCTCCAGCTTTGTCTGGTATTGGCACACTTCAAATCCCTTTACAATTTTGACTCGCTCTTATATACTGATGTCATTAACAAGGCATTTACCACCTTCACCCCTCCTACTCCTGCACACTTTACAGCAACAGGACTTTTGCAAATCTCCAATTGCAAAGTTGACAGAAAACAGCAACACTGATGTTTTAAATCTATGGTTTGAATTCTTCCAATGTGAAAAGTGTTTAGTATTAAGTGGCACATCATCTTCAGTGTTTCCACTTGAACTATTTTTGCAATGGGAGTCAACTTGGAAATGTTCTCTCAGTCATGATCCACAGAGGTTTCAGTCTGATGATGAGTGTTTGTATGAGATTTAGTCTCAACATTCCCTTCATTTGAATCCTGGACAAAAATAAATAAATAAAACATCACTGTCTCTCAAGAGGTGCTGAAGTCCATGGTAGGTGTGGAGCATCTGTCAGTGACATGGATGCATCATTATACAACAATATTTGTATTAGCCATTAACATTTCAACATGTGCTCTATTTATGCAGGGAAGGTCTATTGAGCAATGCCTTCAGCTCTTTGTTCAGTTCAGCACAACTGTGTTTGTTTGACAAGAAATGGTGCAAATAAAAACTCCAGGTCAATAATAAGCCTTTTTCACCACAGACATTCTGGCTTGTCAAAGTAGGAAAAGTACATTAATAAAATAATGCCATTGTTGTTGTGTCCCAAAAACTCATGGCAGCTTGACAGCTAAATGGAATTCAGCCTTCGCTGATTTAATTATTAATCTGTGATTTTACTGTGACATGTGAAAGTGTGAAGGCACTGGGGGAATATGTTTATATGTAATATATACAATTTAGGAGCCAGAATTAAATTGAAAATACCGTCTTATTATGTTGATCATGTACTGTAACCATGGAATCAAGGAATGGGAGCTGTTCTACAGTAACTTTGACAAGTTCAAATTTGCACAGTGTAAGTGCACAGTCCAAAGCCAAATGTGTCTTTCTCTTTGCACGTAGCCTATCTACAACTCAACCAGTATATTTAGGAATGACATACATATTGGTCTAATATGAACTTTAATTTAAATCTAGTACCTATATTCGGTACCGGTTATGTAACCACAATCTTTCCCTAGCCTTAATCCTAAATGCTTTTAACCATACATTAACCATAGTTTATTTGCCATAACCATCTAACCTTAGCCACGCTGTAGTTGCCATGTACACATTTGTGAGAAGAAAGACTTTTGCAAATGTCATTGAGACCACCAATCCTCCTCTGACAAACCCTATTCTCCAATAACAACTGCCCTGTATGATCCCTTTTTGCACTTTTCTTTGCACATCTCTGTCTCTTTCTCTCTCCTTTTTTTGTTGTTGTTGGTGGTCCCAGGCTGCCCTTGTTGCCCTGCAGGTGATCTTCTGCTGAGACATGCTACTTCTTCTTCACTCACACTCTCAGGTCTCTAATTGCTCCATGTAGATGTGTGCACACAGCATGTGTGCTGCACACATCACACATCTAAAAGGTGAAGCCGTAAGAGATCACTTTGGGTGGGAGCTGCATGTTGGTGCCTGCAATTCTGAGAAAACTCCCCCTGAGGTGTAAATCTTCAGTTCATGTTGCATGATATTATTACATTAATGATCCAGAACCTACTATCACAACAGGCTTAGTACATTTACTAAAGTACACTACTTAAGTACAAATCTTGATGCAGAGTGATTACTAGTTACTTTTCAGATTAAAGTCTAGTTTGTAACATTTAGCACGATCTACTGGCAGAAATGGAAAATAATACCAATTGCTATGTTTACATGAGTGTGCATAATAACCTGAAAATAAGAATTGGTGTGTTTTTGTTAAGTTAGAATGAGAGGTTTGTATTTACAGACACCTTCCGTGAAGTCTGCAGTGTTGAACTGCCATGTTTCTACAGGAGCCCAAAATTCAACAAACCGAACACTGGCTCTAGATAGGTCAGTTTATGTTTTTCACATGTTTCACAGCCACTCTAGTTTGTCCTTTGTGCTTGGAGAGGGGGGGTTGAAGTGAGGGCAATCTGTAACTACACCGCTGGATGCCACTAAATCCTACACACTGGTCCTTTTAAGATAAAAAAGACAAAGATTTTCAGTCATAATGCACAGATTAAACTATCCAACAGTATAGTTTAAATTAGCTCTATCTTGACCAACAGCATTCAAATTCTACATCCATGTTGATGCATCATTAATAGTAAGATTCTTTATATATCAATAGAATGTTCTAAAAGAGGCAATTGTTGATCATAAGTTTTTACTTTTAATTTATTTACACTTTGAATTAAATAAAAAACGTTATAGTATTGTATTTGCTACTTTTATTTAAAACTACATTAATTAACTATTGTGGGCAGCACAACCATAAATGCAGCACTAACATAGTATCACTTTAAAGTTGAATGGTGAATATTGCATGCCTGCTAGCAAACAGTTACCTCAGTGTTTCATACAATATTCACTCTCTTTTTAGTTCTATTTTGGTCTCGACAAACCCCCACCCGTCTCTTTATCAGTCAAATGCTCCACTATGTTCACTAGCTAGTTGCTAAAACTATCTATCTACTGTTTGATGCTGGGCAGTGTAATGTGGGGTTATCAGAGTTCTGCTCAAAACAAAACCAGAACACTGAAGTTACAGATGGTAGAACCAAAACAATGAGCTGAAAGACACTACTACATATTATCGAGCTATGGGGAACTGCAGAGTTGGGGGACATTTCTCTGTTGTTTCGTCTCTTGGGGTCAACTCCTTTGACATTACACACATTTTATTATCTTCCCTTTTTAAAATATTGATTAAGGCAGTTTAAAGTAAATAACCCAAATACTTTTAGCACCACTGACAACAGTTGACAGGACAATCTGAAGCAGACCTTTTTCCGTGACAAATTTTTAAGGAGAAAAAACTGCTGTGGGAAAGGACACATGTCTACTGGTTGCTGTTAGTTATCCTTATTAGTAGTGATTTGTCCAAAAAGAAAAATTGAACAACATAACCACATGCACCAAAATACAAAAGAGAAAAACATAAGCAACACACAAACATAAAGGATATATAGTCATTGGTTCTCTGCACCACAATACCGGACAGCCATTTGGGATTGTGTGTCAATTTACACTATAAACACATATGTTGATGGTAGAAAATACATTTTATAAGAGAAAATCACCTCGACCTTAGACTGCACTTATTGTCTTTTAAGTCTGACAAACACTGTAGCAGCGCCAATTGGCCACGATTTTTCCTTTAAACTACAAAGGCAACGTCTTTTGGTTAGGATGACACACATGGCCACATAGAAGCATAGCAACATCAAGAGTTGAAAGAACTAGCTAACCGTAAAAGGTTTGAAGGGGACCTCTGGCTACGCAAAGCCTTCTTCATTATTCAATTTCTTTTTGTCTGTTTTCCAGCTGTAAAGTGTTTGAAGTGGCCGAGCCTTGAGAGGAACCATTTACACTGACAATGGTTTGAAGTACTGTAAGGCCACTTTCTTGGCAGTGGAGGCACAGTGAAGTTTTTGAGAAACAGCATCACTGTATACGATAACAGGGCAAATACATTAATGCTAAGCAACTCTGGAAAGACATTACTCATTCTGTGCTATGAAAGAATTGTGAAAGCATTGCTCAAAGGCAATACCTAAAGCCAACACTCCCAACAGCTCGAGACAGGTAGTTTCTATGGCACTGAATACAGAATCAACAACACAGTATTTAGATGACAGCTGTTGGCCAAAGACGTGTTGTTTTCTTTTTCTCCCTGGAACATGCTGTCATGAGTTCCTATACAGTTAGTGTATAGAAAAGAAGGTCTTAAACACAACTACAAAAATAAGTTGGGTTTTTTACGCCTTTACATGTCTTTAATTGCTCTTCAGTTAGCTTTTTAACATTGCTGCTCCATTGAGTGTTGCCTTTTGAAAGTGTCAATGCAGTGTACCAACTGAAAGGAAAACCATATCCCTTTTCACCATGTTCTCTTCACCATTTGTTTTTAGAGCAACAGACTTAAATGAAAAACATCAAGTTCTCTCTTGAACATGTTTAATGTGTTCTGCAGACACTACATGTGAGGGATTCTTCCACTGTTTATGAATATCTTAAGACAACTTGGACCAAAACTCTAAGCTTGTGTGCTCAGCTGGAGTTTGGAACTTCTGACTTTTGGCCATCGCTCACACACTGTAAAGAATATAATTTGACTTATTGAAGGTTTTGTTCATGGCCACACAGTTTTTACTGTTTGTCTGTGTTGCCTTTGTAATTGGATTATCAGATATATCATAGATTTCCCTGTGTGGCCAGAGTCAGAAAACAAAGGAAAGGGATGTTATAATCTTTGGTCTACTTGAATTTAGGCTCATTCCAGCTTTTGGGTCCAGGGTAATGCTGAAGTTCCGCCTAGCACGGCTTTATGACATCGCATTGCGACTCGGTTTGGCCCTGTCATCCGCCCGTCTTCAAATCCCAACAGAGCAGTGAGACACTTCTAGGACAAGTCACAGCCCTGCCTCTGGTCGCCAGAGGATGAACCCTATTGACTTTGAATTTCCTGACTTTTCCTCTAGCGACACCATAAGGACATTTTAGTGTTTTGGTGAAATACCTTTGGCTGGATCAGTTCAGGGGATCACCCCTGATCTGGTGGCATCATAAGGTCAGAATTTCGATTTCTCCATTAGGTATTGTAGTATTGGAGAAATACCTACAAAACATTAATCAATTACCTACAAAACTAATGATGTATGATGGTCATCATGCAGTTCACACTATGAAAGATCACCTAGAAATTTCACAATATAGCTTCACCATTTCACAGATTTTTTTTCAGAATAAAACATTACTTGTTTTAAATCTATGGTGTGATAACCTCAGGTTCAGAGTTTTTTTTAGCTTGAGGTTGCATTAGCTTGCAATTGCTGGATCTGGTCACTGGATATAAAACCAGTTAAAAATAATTAAATAATCTAAATGCCAAAAAGTTGATGCCTTCTGAGAGCCGACTGTGAATGGCCCTTTGCTGCTTAATTTTAAAAGTGTCTTTTAGTTTCTTTTCAATAGAGTATTAAAATTATATTTTGTTTAAACAACTGAAGAGAATATCTGCCAACCAACGTCTTTTAAGAATTTTACATTTCCAAGTGAAAGGATGTGTCACATACAACATGGGACAGCCAACATTTGTGTTCCTTTTCAACCCAACTTGCAATATGTGAAAATAAATAACATTACTCTTTGGTAACACAAATCTGTGTTGCTTAAAAGACAAAAGTAATTTCTACAAATGTGCTCATGCTAAAGTTTATTTTCACAGTTGCTTATATACTTGACTTATAAGACAAATGTTTGTTGCAATGTAAAAGCCACACTTACTTCATGCACAGACACACATGAACACGCACAGAAACATTTCAGACAGTGTCATAGCATGTGTCAGAGCATTCACTTGAACATTCACTCAGGGGAGGCATTTCCCTCTCAAGTGTGATTTACTACCTCTGCTTTTGCTCCTGTTTTTACAGCGCTAATTACAGACACACACAGACACACTCTCACACAAACACACACATACACAGAGCCTCTGGCAGTTAGGTACCCAAAAAAATCCTTACTCAGCACGAAAAGCCTTCATCAAAAGTGCTTCCTCACGAGTCAGGACTCACCACCAATGACTAGTAGTCAAGCTCAGCTCTTTAATTCAGCCACCACTTTCGTCTCAGTTTTCCTGTTGAAATGTGTCAGACAATCTCAGATCATTATGTCTGTGATGACTATGATGATGAATGTCTATACAGTTTTAACCCCCTCCATGTAATTGTGTTTTACACTCACAGTCATTAATGGCACAGAGTAGGACTGTTTTTTAGGACTGTATTAGTTTGCCATCACTCTTTGTCTGTGTCTGTTCTGAATTATCTTGTTAGCTTGTTGTTTGTGTTTTGTCTTGTCTCCAACAAATGATGAACATACTTTGGTATAGCAAGCAGCAGGAAACACACTCAGAGTGACCCCACTGCTCAGAGGAGACCTGCATGTGCAAACTGCGTCATAGGCCAGAGCATTATAAACCTCAATGGGCTGGATGTATAGCGCTTTGCTGTTTCACAGAAAGGATCTTAGCGGGAATGCTCACACTGTCGCCATAGTAATTACAGCCATTGCAACGCCTGACTGTCCAGCATAGAATTGAGGACATGAGGTATGAGGGACACAGGATGCCTTGGGGACACAGAATGACTTTGTCTTCTAATTCCAGGATTAAGATGACTTGTAAAAGGCTCTGTTGTTGGTTTTTAATAGCAGCTTGTGATTAAAGAATAGATAAATGTAGATGAATGTCTGTGAGTATTTTAGAAAGCAGCAGAGGTGGTGAGGCAGTTCTGTGTGTGTGTGTGTGTGTGTGTGTGTGTGTGTGTGTGTGTGTGTGTGTGACATCTGTCTACTACACACATAAGAGACAGGACACAGATCAGTAGAAGTATTTCTGAGAACCTCTGAAGTATTGAATGTTAAACTGTGATGAAAAACAGAATTTTTTACCAAAAGGTTGAAATAGCTTTTAATAGCTTTCTTTGGACACAAACATTAGGTCTGTTTTCAAAAAGACTTTGGCAGATTTTATGTACAGATGCTGCAAATTAGTACCAGCCACTCACAGTTGCCACCCCAAGCCAGCTGCCAAACGAATATATCCATTCATTCCATTCAGAAAAGCAAAGGCTTGTCATGGACCACGCAATGACTGCTTCTAGGCAGATGTATCTGTAAGTGAATGTCTAAGTATGTTTTTGTCCTTGTTTGGTTGTAGAGGTGCATGGAACTGCAAATCCAATCCCCAAACGACCTGCTCCTTGGTCTTGGCATGAGTACGCCATAATACAATGCCAGAATGAGCGCAAAACCAAGATGAAGTTGAATCAACTAGAGGACCCTCGAACCCAGAAAGTACTTCAGGTCAGAACTAAACCTTCAACTATTTTTGAATGACCTTTAAAAATTTACTTTTTTTTACGTTGTAAAACATTCAAAATACCCCTTCCTTGAATAAAAGTTATTTTTTACTATCATGTGGGCTGTTTTAAATCATGTCAAAGGCAAAAATGGAGGTGCAAGTCAGTAGATTTATTTGAAAAGTGCCTCACACAACAAGATTAATCCACTGGATCTGAAAGATCCATAACTGACACATTTAAAGTCTGAAGTAGTTGACTATAGTAACTAGTTTGAATTGTAAACCTTCCTTATGGGCCCATTTGCACATACTAAACAAGATCTTAAAATTATGGATGAATGTAAGGCCCAATTTGCTTGCTAAAAATGTAAAATAAACCTGTATTTTTTTCCCCGCTGCAGCATCTCAGCTTACATTTTGTGTGTAGTCTTACAGACATTGTGTATGTATATGTGTATTACACAAGTTGTGTATGGCAGAGTGCAGTGAAATGTCTGATTATCAAAAGTAGACAGTGGCAAAAGGTCAACAAGCTGCTGTGTGCAGTGGTACAGTAGTGCCCTCCTCTGGGCACTCTTTCACTCTAACACATGCACTTGCATAGACACACACACACACACACACACTCACTGACTTCACACAGACTTACATTCATTCCCTAGGGACCTGCCCTCCTAACTACCACAGGTCTAATCCCAAATCTTACCCTAACTTAACCCTCACTTCAACAAGTTTCAACCAGATTTTTGTCCCCATTTAGGAGATGAGTCCCTGTAACTTGACTGTGTGAGCTGATTTTTGTCCCCACATCATGACTAAAAAAGGACACATGTATGTGCTTTCATAGAACTGTAAATTGTTAACTGCGTAATTTTCTAATACTTATAATTATTATCATTATTAATAATAATGCCAGAATATTGCAGTAATTGTTTAATAAAACAAAACAACATGCAATAAGGCTGATATCAGATAATGTGGTAATAATTAATTTATATGGTAAAATGCTGTTTAAATTCTGTGATAGTTAACATACATATGCCGTAGGCAAATGCAGGACTTGGATTGTACACTGATGTGATGATGACGTCTTTCCTCTTTTGAAATGTTTTTAGCACTACCTCTGTGGATCTATTGATACATTTCCAATTATCCAATTATGTTCTAGAAGCAACATAACCTTCATTTAGATGGAGCTTCACTAATTGCTTATAATGAGCATCCTCATGATGAAAAGTGATATTGTTGTGCTCTCTACAGTTGAATGCTTGTTGGCAGTTTAATGCAGTCTATACATTACCCCCCCACACACACACACACACACACACACACACACACACACACACACATTTCTCAGTGTCAAATGCAGCTCCACAAAAATAAAAACAGTTCCTAGAAAATCCTTAATGAGGGGCATACAAAACACAGATATTCTTCTGTTTCATGCAAATGAGCTTGGACCCTGGGGGCTACGCATGTGGAGGCCCGTATATTTCTCAACATGGCAAACAATTATGCGCATTTGCTAATTTTCTCCCTCACTTAACTCACTCGCTTGCAGCAAAGCAAAACAAAATAAAACAAAAAATCACAAGCAGGAGAGTATAAAACAACTGTCAAGATCATTAGAAGGAACAAAAGATAGAATGCAGTAAAAGGAGTTGTGTAGCTGGGCAGGGGGAGGAACTTCAGACAGCTGGTGTCAAGCATGGATGCACTTCGTTGTGGGTGGTCAGATACTGTACACAAAATGCATGCTTCGCTGTCAGAGCTGGGGTTGTGTCAGATTTGTTACCTTTTGTTTTAGATAATTGAAAGTCTCTTTTGCATCACATTCATGTTATTGTTTTCACACGAAGACCTTGAAATTCCAGTCTTTGTTACCTTAATTTTCTTTCTCTTTACCTTTAACCTCTTCAAACCTTTTTTGATATTCAACTGGATCAATTAAAAAATCTATACATAACAATCCAGCTAAACCAAGACATTTGATTGTCAACTTTGTTCATGTAAAGCAAATTGTGGAGACTAAATATTTTCATGGTAATAAGGTCACTTGACTTCAAATACAGGACATATTTCTATATCCTATATACAGCAGTGCCTGCAAGGTCAGTGATATTGTTTAATTACAAGACTATAATATGTTTGATAAGCTGTATAACCTGATGTTTAACGCATGTAGCTGTTAGCTTGTCCTAACAGTGTTTTGTTCACCTGAGTACACACTGAAGGAGCAGTCAGACTGGATTTCGCCAGACAAAATTTGCTCACACGGTACGGCGTTTAAACATAAACTGTGGGAGATAGTATGCATTGGACTAACAACAGCAGTCTGTTAATCTCTGTCACTGTCCTTGCACTCACTACAGCCAAACAGCCGTGCATTTATAAAATAAGAATGTACACAATTTGTATTGTTGAATGAGAGGTCAAAAACTAACCTGACTGCGCCAGATGGTTTGCTATGCAGAACTAGCTGGGAAGTTGCTGTTGGAAACTGTTGAATTGCAATGAACCATAGAACGTAGTTTAACTCTTACCAACACCACTTGGGAGAAGAGCTAAAAAAAATCTTTGCCATCAAGAAAAACGTCTTTAGAAGCCGGCTATTGATGTTGTTGACACCTCTAGATACCACGGCCACAGCTCATGCTGTAACTGCCAGTAGTTCCTCATGGGATGCTGATCGGTATCAGTGTTTCGGACACAAGTGCATATATAGCTTGAAGCCTGGCAATACGGATTCTTGCATGAGATTTCATGGTCTCGCAAGTCCAGCTACCACACAAGGTCATTCAAAAAACACCCCTTGTCTCAAACTGGGTGTTCACTGAAGAGGCTCACGTTTTTCTGTGCCAAAATTTAATCCGATTATACTCTGTGTGAAGTGAAAAAGCCGTAGTCAATTAAAAAAACTAAACCCAGTTCATCTAAATAGAAATAAATGGGGAACAAAAACTGGTCTGACTGCTTCTTAAGAAACTGGGAACCAAATCCACAGTCCCATGCTGTTCAAACGAAGCTAAAGTAAGGCCTATGCGACCACCGCTTAGCAAGGGAAAAAAATCTTAAAAAAGAATTGTACCTTCAAAAGATTTCTTCTTGATTTCGCTAACTCAGACTGCTGACGCCTTATATTAGCTTTAGCTGAACCTTTTTGTTTGGAACGAGGACTGTGGATTTTGTTCCCTATTTCTCGTGGTGTAGTCGCACAATGAAGGGAGCTCTTCAAGGCCAGTATAGAAAGAGGCAGTAATTGCAGAAACCTTTAAACGTACATATGGAATGTGAGTATTGGATGACATGAAATGGCCTGAACCTGTCCTTTAATATTTAAGAACAGAAAGGCAGCAGTTCAGCTGGAGGTTGCACGTCCTGAGGTTTTATGTGTGTCTACATTATGAGAAAGGGAAGGAGTCAAACACTGTAAGAGCAAGTGTAAAAGGGAGAGCCAGAGAAAAAGAAAGAGTACTTTTCATCCATATGTTCAGAAGTCTGATAAGGTTTGTGGCAGACTGCGCCTCCTCCTGCCCTTCTCTCTCATCCTCAGCCAACTAATCATAAGACTGGACCTCTTTGATCCCACTGGCAGCCTGATACACTCAATGTGTGTGTATGTGCATGTTACAATAAAGTGTTTGTGTATGTGTGTGCATGTATACGTGGATACATGGTAAGAGTGTGTGTGCAGATTCATACAACGGGAACAGTGTGCGCATTATGTATGTAGGTGTATGAACATGTGGCTGCACAGGTTTGTATTGTCTGTATGTATGTGTGTGTGTGTGTGTGTGTGTGGTCGTGGCTATGGCCACCTGCTGAGTTAAGCAGTCTAGCCACTCATGTTCCACTCCACCAGACTCACATCAATAATATTGGCTGAACTTTCTGCTTGCCTTACTGTACCTCATAAAAGTGTTAGCTATAAATGTGTATATTTGTGACATTTTTACAAGACACAAGAAGTATTTTATTTCTCCATTCTTTTTCTTGGACAGAGCACATTCCTTGGCCTCAAACTTAAGTCAAACTTATCCTTACTCTATTTCTTGTCTTCTGGTAATTTTATTTAAATAACTTTTTTCTCTCTAAATTTATTTATATGTCTACTTCAATAAGTGATAAATAGTTAGTATTGTCATTATTAGTAGTGGTATTAATAACTTTCTCCTTCCTCGTCCTTTCAGACCGCCTGTCAGCAGGAGCTGGACAAGGTCTTAGAGGAGATCTCCAAAATGACCTCTGAGGATAACAGAGGCCCGCTGGAGAACCTGTACGGGCTCAAATTTCCAAACTGTGACAGACATGGACTGTACAACCTCAAACAGGTGAGCCATGGACAGATCACTGGTCTCCCATCCCACCATTTTACCTGAACACACACTCTGTTTATTGAAAACATTGCAGCTGAATTCAAAGTTACTTACTTACTTTAGTAGTATCCGCACATTAGAAGCTCCCAAACTTTAATAACTTTATGAGCATGGCAACCTCATCATCGAAAAACATGGCAAACATAAAAAAAGGAAAGGTGTATGTAGGGCACAAAATGAATGACATCCTGCCATGGCCAACACATTTTGTAAACACTTGCAATTAGAAACTGAAAATTCATTGTTGTATCATTGTTGTAGATGTCTTCAATAAAAAAAAGTGTAAATAGGTAAAATATTTTAACAGAGGGCTCTACAAGAATTGATAGATCACATTGACTGGAAGGCAAAAGGGGAGGAAAAATATCCCCAAAATGGAGGGAATGTAACCAGTGCAGCCAAGTGAGACTGGAAAATATTTCACATAAAAACATCCAAAATCTAGTAAAGACAATATATGTCTCGTAGGAAAATGAGTTACAAGATGATGACAAAATGACTTAATGTCCAAACCCATATTGAGAACAGATTCATACTGAAGAAGCTGGTTTGCACACTCCTCACATCATTTAACCCTTCTACCTTCTCAGTACCAGTGCACTTACAATGAGCAGCAGCTACAGGATTGGCATAGCCCATTTAATGTCATCAATTTCGTATATATACCCATACGTACCTTGTCTTTAGCCATTTGTCAAATGAAAACCGTGCAGTGGGCAAATTCCCTGGGGCCCCAGAACTCCAAGGGTCTCAAAATCTCCACACTGAGAAAAGGCCAGAAGGTCATGCTTTATTACCACATCTTGAGGCCCTTGTCTTGAGCAGGTTCCCTGTGTTTTAAGGGAAGTACAGGGGCTAACAGGGGGCCCAGGAGCTCACTTTTTTCCGAGTGACTTTTAGCTGGTTAATCAGCCATGCCCACTTGGGTCAAAATGTTGCTGTTGTTTCTTCTTGGGGCTCATGTTTGAGGGAAATTACCTGATTTGAGTGTGAAAAGTGATCTTGGAAATAGTTTGACAAAAAAAACAATACATCAGTGAAAGAGTTTATTTTGATTTGTGGATAACTGGGTTTTTAAAAAGTCAAAAATGAATTGTTTCCACACTCTTGTATACTTCCTCTGTCCTGAATATAAATGTGTGTTGTTGATACAAGCATCATTCAAAGCCACAGTTATTTATTTAAAAATGCTAGTCAAGTTCTCAAAGTTTCCAGAGATACCAGATAGAGTAAGTGATGCAGAATTTTAGAAAATGTCTATAAAATTACACCAAAGTAAACATCTATAAACAGTGTCTCAGTAATAGGCTGGGAGAGAGTTGTTTGACTGAATTTGGCGCTGGATACTGTATTTGGTGCTCCTTCTCATTCATTGAAATTCCATTATTCATTCTAAGATGATGGTCATTTCATATTAACTCTTCACCGAACTAATTCATCAGATTTTAAACATTAAATTTACACTCGAATGCATGACAGAAAATGGCTGCAATCTATTGGTGGAAACCTTAAAGAATGTCGCAAGGCTAAACACCTGCTGTAACATCACTCATTAAGGTTTTTGGTAAGGGTTGTGACATGGAATTATAATATTCATAGGTATGTTTTCATTAGTGTTTAATCACCTCCATCACTCCATCATAGGAGTTGTTATGTTTTTTTTAGCGTAGAATAAGACATTTTTATCTATCTGTGGGTCGCCTTCCATGGAGTCTTCCATGTTGAACTGCCATGTTTCTACAGTAGGGACAAACTAAACACTGTCTCTATATAGGGGATATTACGCGTTTTGCAGCCACTGTAGTTTCTGCATCACGTTTGGAGGGGGAGGCTGAAGTGACGGAGTTGTGATCAGCAACCGCACTGCTAGATGCCACTAATTCCTACACACTGAACCTTTAAAAATCGCTTCGCTTCCCACACATACACACTAGGGATGGTCAGATTCACCAATTTTCATTGGTGCACCGGCATAAAAATACAATCTCAGATGGATATTCGTAAAAGATTATATTTAGATTGATTCCTCCTCTTTAAACTGTTTCTTAAGCTGCTTAAGGAGAATCAAATGAATAAAATCAAACTATCTGCACCATACTGAATTGCATAGCATCATATTATTTTCCATCACGTCGCTAAATCACATTGTGTTGAATCAAGTCATGTCGAATCGAAGAAACACAACAGGGGTGAATCATATTGTATTGTATTGGCAGTTGCTTCATATGTATCTCTAATGTATTGGCAATGCATCGCGATGCTTATCACATTGGCCTCAGTGATGGAGATACACATCCCTTACAAACATGTTCTCACTCCCAAACGCTTCAAAGAGTGCCGCTCAGTGAGTGACCCTTCCTTCAAACTGTGATGCTGCAGATACTCCTCTATCGCAATGTTTTCGTGTGCCGATGAAGCCAGGTGATGTAGCCTAGTATAAAGAGCGAGAAAGTCTGTGTATGGAGGAGGTTGGAGTGAATGGATCGATTGACTTTGACTTTCACCCAGGAGACCGCTGTTTGTGTCCTGTAGGAAACCAAAAGGTACCTCACCTGCACATCTCAGCTTTATTTTGAAAGTCTAGACGTTGCATACCGTATTTAACTAACTGGACTGTGGAGCTCTGCACATACACATGCTAGAGGGTAACATAGAGCCAACCAAGCTGCTGCATGTGACGAGTTGGGAGTGATGCTCACGTGTTGAACGTGTTGCTCGTATATACTGTATCATTTTGTTTAGTTCCCCCTTGAATTTCCTGTCTCTTCTCTTTCATACTCTGACTTACACACACACACACACACACACACAAACACACACACACACACACTCCCTCACTCCCACCCGCCACCACTCTCCACACAACTACCCCCCTCACCCTTTTTTTCTAAACTCACACACCCTCCTCTTCCTTAACACTCTCTGCACACACACACACACACACACACACACACACACACACGCATGCACACACACACAAATATGCGTGGAGATGTTGTCATCATGAATGAGGCAACAGCTTCTGAGCTCAAGGTTACAAGGCAATAAAACTGTTTGGCGTACTTCATGGGAAGACTTTTGTTAAGCGGAGGAACGAACTGTGCTTCCGACTGGGGGCTTGAATTTGAATTCTGCTCATCCATAGAAATCAGACAGAGGAGGACAAACAAGGTCACATATCCAGTGTTTTCTTACGAGGATAGTAGAGCAGAAAAGAAGATTTGAATAGGCGCCACAGTTTCCTAAAGCGGGGCTCTCAACCACTCAGCCAATTTTCATCACTGGTCACAAACAACAGCATTGTTTCGGACTGGAGTCCTTGGTTCCCAGGGAGGAACACTGTACCTCCTCAACACTCGGCTCCCTTTTGGAGTTGTCCCTCCTTGTCGCGGGGTAATTACTGTAACTGTCACTTTTTTTGTTCTTTCTCATCGAAGGAAGAAAATAGAAAGTCTTTTCTTTCCCCCCAGCTCTTCATTCTTTTCGCCGTCCCCTCCGCAGCCGCCCCGCGTGCGCGGCGTAAACTGTGTCCACTTCAATTACGACCTCATTTCTGAGTAGAGGGGGGCTCTGCGGGGGGGCCGGTCTACTGGCATGCCTCTGTGTGTGTGTGTGATGGCATGTGTTGCTGTGGATGGGTTGTGAGTAGGGGGCATGACCTGAGGATGGGTTGTTATTGGGTGAGTGTTGTCCCACCCAAACCATGTCCCTCACTCTCATCCAATGGCCCCCCGCCACCAGAAGATCCACAAGTACACATACACACACATACACACGCATCTCAAGCCACCGTACGCCATGCTTCATTAACGCACCCCCAACTTCCCACTGTGCATCTTTACCCCTCCCTCTTTTTTCCAGTGTTTTCCAACTTGTCTAGTTTGTGTTTTTCTTCCCTCTTTCCAGTGCAACATGTCCACCCACGGCCAGCGGGGCGAGTGCTGGTGCGTTGACCCCTTAACTGGGGTCCAGATTCCAGCGACGCCTAAAGTCAGAGGGGATCCCAACTGTAACCAGTTCCAGGAGGAGCAGAGACTGATGCCCACTGCAGCAGCGTCTTACTAGCACAGACGAGGACATGGTTGGGTTTGCCCAAGATTCCAAATGTTTTTTTTCCATTAATATGATTCTCAAACAACATCTAAAGAAGTCTCTATACTTGAAGGCTTTGTCTCATTTTTAATTGACTCTAGGTTAAAGGTTAAAATGTAAACTAACTAAAGAATAAATTTGGTATTTTATTTTTCCTGTTGTCAACAAATCGCATGAAAAGCCCAAAACCATTGCTTCTCAGTGCTTTCTGACTTTCCTGTCTATGGGACTCATACCTGAGCTCAGTTATTTCCAGTAAATATGTTTAAAAATTAAAAAAAAAAAAAGTTTTAAAAAGGAGGCACAAATATGTAGTTTTATTATTTTTCTTAAAATGAATGTCCTGATACAGTGGGCACTGTAGTTTTTAGCAAATTAGGACTCAAAATAAAGTAAATAGATCATTTGTTGGGGACTAGTTTAAGCTGCGGAATAATACATATTTGGCGTGCTAGTAAATATTTACGGATTTCTGGCAGTAGGAGAGTTTATGTGGGACTCAAACTACAGTTCTGATTCTCATTGTAATGAAGAAACACACCACTGTGTGCATTAATAGAGGAATACGTTATATCAGGCTTTGGCTACACTGACAATACTTGAGCTTTTTACTGTTGCTTTCGGTCATTTCATTGAATTTGTTGACAATTAAAATATATATAGAATATTGGCAAAGCTGCATTAATTGATTTTATTTGGCCACTTGGGCGCAGAAGAACAAGCTGTAAAGAAAGCATTTTATATGTAATTACCTTATGACAAATGTGTCAGAAAACAACTTCTCATTCCAGGGGACAAGATTAGCATTCATCTGCAGTTTGTTTGACCCGCTGACATTAGTAAGTCCAATATTTAGCCAGGAGATTCTCATGCCAAATTTGGTGCTATGCTAATGATGGGGCAGGGATGCCACTGAACCTATACTTTATGCAGACAAGCCTTAAGTTTTCACAAGTTGGGGTAAAAGACTTACAGGTGCTCCGTGAAATTCTTTGACATATCAAACATATGTATGCACTGTCTATAACCCATTTTAGTGCCAACACGTTGATTTCATGAGTAAATACTTTGCAAGCAGGTAATTAAAACTGTTGTCACTGTCATACTGTTCATTGATTATATCCTGTAAAATTTCCCTGTTGATGCACCGACTTTGTTTCCTACATTGTTAGCTGTAAATTAATTAAATTCAATCAAAATCTATTTTGCTCTGACATTCACTGAAAAAGAGTCTGAAGTTTTGTCACATCAATTTAACTCCAAATGTAAAATTGACAACATCCAAGGGTTTCTGTGAATCCACACCCATTGGTTGGCTGCAGAGAGCTGTTGTTGTTTGTCAGCAGTTTTTCCTGTCAACACTTGTCAACTCCAAATAAGTGTCACTAAAGAAAAATTGCACTTACGGTAATAATGCTGGAAACTGCTGTGTGGCATCACTGCTGTGTCTGCGGACATGCATGTGTGTGCATGAGCCTGGATGTGTGTCTGTGTGTGTGTGTGTGTGTGTGTGTGTGCGTTGCTGGGGTTACTGATGAAGTGTTGACATGAGGAGGGATTAGGATAGGGGGGCTGACATTGACAAATGGGATACTAAGTGGGTAAAGGTGTCTATGAATAAACCGACCCTAGTACGCAAATGCACGTAGAGACACACACTCGCTCATGCACACACATATTTGTGCTGCAGATCATGTTCTAAAGAGAGGTAACCAACGTGAAGTCTTAACAGAGGGAGATAGGGGTGCTATTAATGAAAATGACAAATTTGGATATTGGGACCATCATGACAATGTGACTTTTAACAGTATTATCTCACTTTTACAGGCTGTGCTGGAACAATTTTGCCATCCATGGGCTGCAAGTAATCCACTGTTATTGTCCCTTAGACAGCCAAGCCCATCATCATGAGTGATGGATGACATGGAATGCTTTTTATCATGTTTCAAAAATGTATCTGTAATCCATTGCAGCCTATGTAAAAACACACAGTAAATTGATTATTCAGCAAATACAGCATAATCAGAAAGTTGTGTTTTATTTTTTATTAGACTACAATTATCAAGGTATTTGAAACTGCTTGCACCTGACTGAAAACAGTATAAAGTCAACCTTCTGACAGGTCAACAGGTCCTTGTTAAAGTGATGATGACATTTTGATAAACCCCTGATAATAGCCTGAACGGACTCTAAACAGGTAATGCGACCTACAGAAAGGAGCCGGTAATAGACATGAAACAAATAAATACGCATGTGAATGCATCTTTCAGGTTAAACTGATGGATTTATATAGGATAGTTCAGATTTAAGTCAACTTAAGTCAAAGTTGGTGTTCTCACATGCTACCAGTAAAAGAGTTATTGGTCCCTCTAGTCATTCCCCCTCCCCATACTGTAATGAACTTCCCAGCAGGACTACACTTTCAGTTTCAGCGGAAGATATACGAGGCTACAGCAATTCCCCAAATTAAGGATATGTTTCAAATGTAAGTTCTTTACCCACTCGATTTGAGGAAGTAGCCTTAAAGTAGCTTCATCTGAACAAGGACTGTGGATCTTTTAGCATGCTGTCGCAGTAGTAAGGGGTCATTTCACACATGTACATGAGGGGGAATGATTACAATGACCCATAACTCTTTAAACGTACATATGGCATGTGAGTATTAAAGCAGGCTAATAAAAAGGTCTGTTAATTCTCTTGATCAGTCTCAATCAATGTCGAAGAGATTATTTCCGTTAGAGTTTGCTCTGACTAATTAGGATTTCTGATTATACAGGCAACAGTTAGGCTGTATAACAAAACTTTACATATGTCCGAAGAACATTTTATGTATGGCTGATATAGAAAACACTCGCAAAAGTCCCCAAATAAAAGTCACCACTGATTTGTAATCAAAATGATTCAAGACTTGGGTGTAAAGAAAGACGCCTTTGAACCTCTGGCCAAAAGTGTATCATATGAGACCACTCCTGACTGGCTTTGGCCTTGTAACCTTATACATGTGCCAGTGCGCCAGTTAGCTGAGCACCAGTCCCAGAAACGCTCTTTCAACTACAGCTTTACAGCTTTGTTCAGTTTTTGTGACACGCTATTTTTTTATTTTTTATTTCTTTTTATTTTGTCTTATTAATGCTGGGTTTTTGGCAGACCGCTTGCTTTAAAAATTTGACAGCTTGGCTTGGTGTCACACATGGATCTCGGGCGTCCTCGGGTTGTTCAGCACATTTAATGGAAGCTGGCCTTTTCTGAAAACAAATCAAAACAAGTCTTTTGTTTTGGGTTTGATAGATCAGGCACAATGGGCTGAGGAGGGTAGTTTAGCAGTGGGAATAAGAGTGGGGGTGAGTATGTGTGTGCTTGCATGATTGTCTCTGGGTGTGTATGTGGAAAAGCAAATGTGCGTGTATTGGCCTAGAGAGCCGAAGATCTGCCCTACTTTCAGGCTACTATTTCTTTTGTTAGCATTCAACAACTTCCCTTGATATGTTGATGGTGGGTCTGTGTCTAAGACTCACGGAAGCTGTACTTGTTGAATGTTAACAAAATAATTGTTGTTTTATCTTCGTTAAAATGACACGGTGCTCCGATGTTTGCAGGAAGTACAACAGTGGAGGCGTTTATCTTTGAATATGGACAATGGAGCCAAGTATTATGTTTCAGCTTCATAGAAAGACTGATTAAAAAAAAACCTCCATGCAAAAATATATTGTGTAACAGAGGCTTGTGGCACACAAGCAAACTCAGAGGTAGGGGAAGACTTCAGCTCTCCATAGTCAGAGAATAACAGTGCTGGGCATCTGCATGGATGTGGTTATGTGTTTGCATATTTGCACTGTGCAAAAGGGGAGAGAATAGAGGAATATACTGAATATATAAAGAATATATATGAGCTAATATTGTGAAGCTAACATGTGTTCATCTAGCCTAGATCCATGGCATGCTCTGACTGATTCAAAGCTAAAAAGCTCAATCTCAAAGGAACACTTTATCATAGTAGCTCTGGCCATCGGTTATCTCAGTTTACACATTACATTCACTAAATGAATTGCTGGGATCTCTAAGCACAGTGAAATCGCTAAAAGCTATTTGGACGGGGCAAGAACCATGAGTGCATACGACGGGGCCAAGAATGGAAGCTCAGATTTGAACCAGGAAGCTGTTATCTGTGATGGATGTTTACAGCAGACACTTTGGTTTGTCGTATCATAGTTTGCCTTCATTTTCTCTTCCAAATAATTGCTCTGCTGTTTACAACCAATATGACTACTTGTGTCTCTAGCCCAGTCAGACCTATCTTAGTTATTTAGTTGAATTTTTTACTAGATCATAGGTTAAATACAGGACTAAATACTGTGCCCTTGTCGTCCAATGCAATGCACAGCAGCCACAACAGGAGCATTATATCTGTGCCTTAAAATGCTTTTATGGTTTATAGGATGTCAAATCTTAATCTCAAAGTTGGTTTACTTAACATGCAGTTGTGGTTCTCACAGTCACATCCGATCCACACTGAAGAACCCTCCATTTGGGATTCCGGGTCTAAGTCAATCTTTGATGAAAGGGCTTGGATGGAAACTAGCAGACACTTGTCTGCCGTTGTCTACCACCAGCATTGGAGGATTCCGCCACTAAGTCATGTGATTTACTCCCAACCACTGTACATTCTTTCAAATCTCCTTTCATCTCCATCCCGGTGATGAAAAGAACCACCATTACCTCTTTAAGAGATAGCATTATACAAGAACACAAGCAGTGATTTGCAAAGATCCCAATTATGCAGTGTAAACATCTGCATGCCATTTGTTCGCCTATGTCTTTAAATGCCCCATCATCATTTCTAAAAGTCACATTTAATGATATGAGCCGCAGGCAAATCGATGCACAAGCAAGTGAAAGCATCTCCAAAGCCACTGAATACGATATTACATCGCTGATCATTGATTTAATCACATTCAAAATGCAGAGAGGAAGAGCATGCAACGTTTGTGCAAAACTTTGAGTTTAGAGTGACACCGAAGTGCTTGGCACAGCAGTCTGACTGGGTTTGGGATGGAGTGAGGTGCGTGAGTTGATGTTAGATGTAGCCATCTAACGTTGTTGGCCTAATTATGTAATAAAAGGGGCATAAATGCTTTGAAGTCCTAAGTGCAGTTGTCAGTTTCTTTGAAGGCAAATAGTAATTGTCATGTTCACTGCCTCACAAATCAAATCTTCTACACATGTTTCCTCCTCCCCGAAGTCAAAGTCTGTGCCCTCCCTGCTACATGCACGCACGCACACAGACAGACACACACACACACACACACTCACACACACACACACACACACACACACACACCACAACAACCTTTACGGCTGCCTTGATCTGCTCACTATACAGGAACTGCTGGGCCCTCCACCCTTTCATGCCCTGCTTCAGTCACCCACATCTGGAGTTGGTCAAAGTCCTGAGGTCCCCAGGGAAAGATTTTGGTGGACCCCAAAAAAGAAAAGTCCCATTCTGTCACTTCCTGGAGTCCATGAGGGAATGAAAATGACCAGACACCCCGGAGATGCATTCACAGATCCTTAGATGAGTGTCTGTGCATGCAGAAACTGAAAACAAACTGCTGATATCATTGCCCTTGATTTATTTGTGTACTGAATCTTTATTTATCCGGGTGATATGTGCTGCATAATGTTTTTTAAAAGAGCATTGTGACAAATATGTGGATTGCTTCACCTTAGACTTATGATAGTATAGTTCTTGCTATATTAACCAGATCTTCTACAGCTCTGCCTATCATATTCTGTCCACACCTTGTGTCTGGTGTATGCACTTACTTTGAGCTGCATGTGTGTGTCTTTGTGAATGGGCGTGTCTCAGGGGAGTCCATTCTGCCTTTAAGTGGTAATAACGGTAGGTTTTCCATAACATGATGAAGCCTCCTTGAGGCTACAAATCCCTTCTTCCCAGTCATTTGAATAGCTAGCTGGTCCCACTAGATGTTATCCCCCCCTTGAAGTTCAAACTCATTTTAAATGACTTCCTTGTTCCTGTGCAATCTTTTTGACTATGGTGTTGAAAACCAGGTGACTTGCCCTCGGGCGAGGCTTTATAAAGTCACATCCTGCATGCAGCATGAGATCCTTGTGGGCTAGCCTGGGTGTCTCAGACTTATGTCTAAGAGGTTTATCAGCTCATGCCTCGGAGATTAGTCAGT